CATTTCGGAGAAGTTCAAGAGCAGAAGATGCGATCGCACCTTGGCCCGTACCAGCCTTTCCATGGATCCAAAGGATGGGACTTGCGTTCGAGTTCTTCCAGATCTGAAAGTTTTCGATTTCCAACACTGATGATGACTTCGTGCCCTTCGCTCCTGTGTAGGTGCCCTTTACGGCGGCTTCTACGTCGGCGAATCCTTTGCCGAGCGCATCCATCATGCTGTGGTAGGTGCGATCATCGACTTGAGATTGTCGAAGCATGTTCTGACGCGTCTTGATGATGCTATCCGCCTTATTGGCTGTCTCACGGATCTCATCAGAGACGGAAGTGAAGTTACCATCCTTTGGCCCAGGGAACTTGTTGAGTTGGAAATGATCCGACATGAGAGAGATGCTGTCGAATGATTCGATTGTTGCCGAAGATTGGTCAACAATGCGCTCTTTGCTTTTGAGCCATGTGATTCCTTTCACGAGATAGTTAACCAAATCGCTATCGTTCTCTTCCCAGAAGCAAAGTAGCCGAAACTGAGCTTCTCGCGCCATACAAGAGAACTCGGAGAGTAGACTGCGCAAGATCTCCGAGTCTTTTTCCAAGACCTTGAGTAGACTAGACGGCGTACCCCAGCCGGCGACTTCAGCCATGGATGCCAGAACCATTGCCTTGGACTGGCTTGACGTGCCGTGAAAAGGTGTACCGAGGAAGAAGCATCCAGCGATCCAAGGATACACGTTGGGAAAGTCTGTTTGGCGCGATCTTGACATGAGCAGGGCCTTCTCGAGAATGATGCCCCCAAGACAATGCGAGATGAAGATGATGGGCGTTTTGGTTTGGTTCTCCAATACGTTGTTAGCATGTAGTCATCACGAGGACGTACTAACTCACCACTCGTGACCTATCGAGGCTATGTAGTAGTTTGTTCGCGACATTATCGATGCGTTCGTCGACTGATCCTTTTCCAAACCACTGCGACTGATACTGGAAAACGCTAATCTTGGCATGTGGAATCTTCTTCGGGAGCATATTGGCATCGCGAAGCCAATGCACTTTGCTCTTCTTCCATGTATATTCGGGGTCCGCTCCCAAGCCTGGAATGGCGATGATCCTCGAAGTTATTAGCTTTTGATTCTCGCGTTGGACTTCCAGCCACCTACTCGATTTTGGCCGAGAACTTTGACGTTGCCTGATCATCACTAGGGTAGACAACGTTCAGTCCGGGGTTGAAAGACTGTGCTTGTAAACATGTAGAAAACCGAGTGTGAGCAGAACACTAACCTGTGCATCGAACTTCGAATGCTGGACCTTGGTGGCCGAAGCCATCGCGAATCGTGGTGCTGTAGCAAACCCGCGCTGCAAACTGGCAACTAAAAGCTACAGCGTAATGTTAAAACCATCTTGTGAGGTCTGCGCTCTAAGTTTGGGCATACACTACCATCGTGCTCTCCGCGATGCAGGTTGGGCTTTCGACGGAGCCTCTCGCAAACGACTACTCGTTCGGCATGGCGTCGTACGTCTTCTCCCTCTTTTCCATCCTGGCTCCACTCGCATGCATCGTCGCTATTCTTGGCGTTATAGCCTTTATGTTTGTCGTGAATTTGGCGCGCACGCTGAGGATTCGAGGGCAGAAGCGGCGTCAAGGTGTGAAGGTGTGAAAGCTCGACGCGACACGCGCCTGGCTGCTGGCAACGATGACGCGCTGCGGGCCGACAGCCAGGGAAGCGACAGCCCAAACATCCCCACCAAACCTCACCAGTCCCCCGGGGCCATCAACACCCACCAACCCCACCAAAGATAATTGATGAAACCCTAGGTCGCGATAGCTCTTCGCCGTCTATAGTAGCTAGGCATCCATGCCAGGCACCGACTGCTTGCATCAGTGGCCAGATACGGGCCCACAGACGACGCAACGTATCGCGATAATGCCCGAGGTCATCCACGCCTCACGGACATCAGTAGCGGGATTTCGCATCGTGCACGAGCAGAAAGATGAGAACAAAGTGCCAGTAATCCAGCGAAGAAGACTCGTATCAATAGGCTGTGTGCATATCGCTCTGCCCGGGCTGCAAGGGTGGCTAGAATCTGTGTCGTGTTTGCTGCATACACATCATTATATATTAAGAAGTAGCTAGCTCCTAATACGATGTATACTTCTACCTTGAAAGATATATTCAACATTTTCTAATGCTTTTGTAGACTGCAACAGGAGGTATAGCTATCGCAGCACACGGTCTTGCCTAGGTACCGACGGGCTAGAATAGACGCAGTAGTAGTGGTACCTAGGTACAGTATTACACAGCATCGTCTGTGACATCAAACGCGGTTATGATAGAATTCTGGTCGTCCCCGACGCACACGTTCTATTCGTACTTCAATCCAAGCCCATATTTGCATCGCCTGCCAGTTCAGACTCGCAGCGAATCCCTCCCTAACAGCTCCAAAGCTTCATGTCGATTGTTAGTTCCGCTAAGCCTGCTGAGCTCCAGAGAGCGAAGGAAGGAGTTTGTGTGTCAAGGCTCGGTGTAAGCACCTGCCGAGGAAGCTTTTATCCCGACACTTGACCTATTCCGACTCCTAGCGCTGACACTACGCCCTACATGACCGACACGGCCAGCAATCTCGAATGTCCATCTCTAACCTCAAATTTTTCGACGAAATCGCCTCAAGGCACGACATCATGAGCGACGAACCTGTAGAGCTCACCAACCTTGGAGCGTCCAAGGTTGACACCCCACCAGAGGATGCTACACCACCCGTTCAATACCCGCGTGGTATCCGCTTGGCTTTGATAACTGTCGGTCTCGCTCTCTCCATCTTTCTCGCTGCTTTGGATTCAACAATCATCGCTACCGCAATCCCGAGCATCACCACGCAATTCCGTAGCATCAGCAGCCTGGCCTGGTATGGCTCGTCCTACGCAATTACCAACACCGCATTTCAATCTGCGTGGGGCAAAGCCTACCAGTACTTCAGCCTCAAAGCCACCTTCATGTCTGCAATTGCAGTGTTTGAGATCGGTAATGTAATATGCGCAACTGCACCAACAAGCGAGGTTTTGATCTTCGGGAGGATCGTGTCTGGCATGGGCGGTGGCGGAGTGATGACGGGTGCGTTCATCATCGTCGCAATGACAGCTGGACCACAATACAGGGCCGCCTATATGGGCGTGTTTGGCGTGACTTTTGGATCTGCAAGCGTCGTGGGACCATTGTTGGGTGGCGTTCTGACAGACGGCCCTGGATGGCGATATTGCTTTTGGTACGTGAACCCCGATCTGTGTTTTGGCTGCTTTACCGTCTACAACACACTCTCCACCAAATGTTTTGTGCGTGGATGGAAACCACGCAGGCATTATAAGGTCAAGGTCGGTGTGCTGACACTACACAGGATCAGCCTACCGATTGGTTTCGCTGCTGCGCTCACGATGTTCCTCTGTTTCCATGACCCTGGCAAGCCCAAGGATGTACCTCTCCGCGAGAAGCTCCTGAATTTGGACCTTAACGGCGCCATCTTGCTATCCGGATGCTTCTCTTGCTTCATCCTAGCCACGCACTGGATCGGCATCATGCCTCCGACTAGTGCTCGTATCATTGGCAGCTTTATCGGTTTCGTGGGCCTTTTCATCTGCTTCGCGATCAACGAACGCTACATGGGGAGCTGCGCGATGGTACAAGCTCGCGTGTTCAAGAACAAACTGGTCTTCGCCAATCTGCTATATGCATCCTTCATTGCGGGCGCCTTCTTTCCGCTCATGTATACACTGCCAATCCAGTTCCAATCTGTCAACAACAACACGGCTTCGCAGAGTGGAGTCCGACTTATTCCACTCGTCATGGGCGTCTCACTCTTCACTATGATATCTAACGGAACCCTCACCTTCTGGCGCCACTATAAGCCCTTCTTCTTTGTCGGCGCAATCTTGGCCGTAGCTGGAAACATAAAGATACACTCCTTGGATGCCAGCACACCAACTAGAGACTGGGTCGGCTTCGAGCTTTTGACAGCCACGGGAGTCGGCCTCGCTCTTCAGATCCCGATGATTGCCAATCAGGCTCTCGTTTCTGCAGACGACCTAGCCGCTGTAACATCGATGTCGCTCTTCATGGAAAATACTGGTACTGTATTCTCCGTCGCATCGAGTGAAGCGGCATTCACGAACGGACTGCTTTCAAGCCTCGCCCGCAACCTGCCCGAACTGGACGCGAAGGAGATAATGGATGCTGGCGCGACGCAGATCCGCGGGCTGTTCTCAGGTCATGAGCTTGATCAGGTATTGAGAGGGTATCTGGATGGCTGTAAGACCAGCCATGTCATTCCCGTAACCTGTGGCGCAGTCTGTGCGGCAATCAGTTTGTCCAACGCTGTGCCGGCGACCTTACAAGGGATAAAGAAGCGGCTTGGGAAAAGCCATGATCGATGATTACTGAGATGATATGGAAAAGGAAGCTTCAACACATTGACGATGTTTCAACAGGAAGACCAGGACTCAACGGTCCGGAGTTAGTGGAGCTCAACGCCCACGCCGCGATACGACGTGTTGTCACGCCTCACACGGTCTCTTGACAGAGCCCAACGTGTTGTCCCCCGTCAAAGTCGACATGATGGAGTTGGAAAACAGAAACCGGCAGTTGCACCGTGCTGATGTGCTGCAGTGCATTGATCGTCCCTGGCCGGCTGCCGGTGCAATAGCGGCGGGACGCGTTCCGCTCAAACTATATTAATGATATGCAACCATAGCCTATCGGTACATCAGGCGCTCAAAGAGTTTCGCGTTGTTGCTCGATGACTTTCACGTTGTTCGCGAGTCGTGAAGTAATCCACGTCGGATGAGATGTGCGCGTGGATGAAGCACGCGTGACGTAGCATAAGCTGCTAACGGAATCGGGCATAGCGTTTCCATCACGAGCCATCTACGCCCGTGCGCAGCGGCGACTCAGCCATCGCCGCGCTTATCATAACAGTCCCGTCTCTCTCGCCCTGTTGTCTCTTCTGCAATGTCCACAAATCATGCCATCAAACTCGACTCTTAATCATCGGAGCAGGCCCTCTACCATTCTCTTCGCCTTTGGCGTCTTCGCGCAGGTCGCGTTGCTTGCCTGCATCTTCTGGACTTACACTAGCTATGGCAACCCCCGTGAGCCGACCGCCTTAGCGGAAACCACAACTAGGACATCATCAAGACCAAGCGGCTTCACTCTGCGCCACCTATTGGATCACGGCGCTGGACAACCTGGGCCACGAGCACGAAGATTCGATGTGACTCCAGAGCGTTTTGCCGTTGCTGGTATCGACTCCCGCATCGGGCCCTTCACTATCAAGTCGGCACCAGTCAAGATAGAAAGGCCCGCGTTACGTGGCTACGATGCACAGATCCCCATGTCGCCCATGTGGATCGCCGAGGATATTCCGGGTCCGGATGTCACGGACAAGAACACGGTTATCAGTTTCGCAAACATGTCCGAAGATGCTTACAAAGTCGGCCCTGACGACGCAGGATGGATGGACGTCGATGGGCATTACAACTCGTCGGTCCCTTTTGGCTGGGATGACAGTGGCATCCGAGGCCATGTGTTCAGCGACGACACTAACTCCACCATCATTCTGGCGGTAAAGGGAACGACGGTAGCCATGTTCGAAGGCGACGGAACGTCCGTGCACGACAAAGAGAACGACAACCTGTACGGCTCTTGCTGTTGCGGCCAGGGCGGCACATATCTTTGGCGAAAAGTGTGTGACTGCCAGACTGGCACCTACAGCTGTGACGAGCAATGCGTCAAGAACGAATTACGAAAGCCGAACAGGTACTATGCCGCGACTGTCGAGCTGTATCAGGAGGTAGTCAAGATCTATCCGGATGCGCACATCATGACGACAGGACACAGTCTGGGAGGCGTTCTCGCTTCTTTAATCGGCTTGCAGCACGGTATACCCGCGGTGACGTTTGAAGCATACCCACAGGCCTTGGCAGCTAAGCGCTTGGGACTACCAGCTGCCGGTGACGTTGCTCCACTCAGGAAGAATACAGGCGGCTTCCATTTCGGGCACACCGCTGACCCCGTGTACATGGGAACTTGCAACGGAGCGACGAGTTTCTGCTCTATTGGCGGATACGCCTTCGAGACCCTTTGCCATACCGGAAAGAAATGTGCATACGACGTGGTCAAGGACTGGGGTTGGAGGCAGAACACACAGACACACAGCCTTAGATACGCCATTGACAATGTGTACATGAAGTACGACGAGGCAGCAAAATGCCAAGAAGAGGATGTTGGTTGTGTCGATTGCTACCTATGGAAGTTCGAGAACGGGACGAAAACCACGACGACGAGTACCTCAACAACACCAACAAGTACCACATCATCGAGGACGCGGACTGAGACATGTAAGACGCCTGGGTGGTGGGGATGTCGAGACGAGACTACTACGATGGTATCAACTACATCGTCCAGCGTATCAAGTACTGCAACCAGCACAAGTACAAGTACCTGTCAAACAGTGAGTTCCAGAACTTCAAAACAGTGCGAATATGACTGACTTCTTGAAGCCCGGATGGTTCGGCTGCAAAGACAAGACGACAGCTACTGGTCCTATTACGACTGCTACGACTACTACTACATCAGCTGCACCGACAACTACTTGCACCTCGAAGGGCTGGTTTGGCAGGTGTTACGATGACGTTCCAGCGACAACCACTCCAGCCATGCAAGCTCATGCCTACTGGCGGGCTGCGGCGACTGCGACACAGACGGCTGCTTAGACTTTCAGAATTTTGCATATGCTACATGAATGTCTTTCAGTAGCATAGTATACCCATTTAGAATTACCAATCAATCATTTTCGTTGCTACTGATCATCACGCGAAGAAATATTTGTATGATTCCGCCATTCGGTGGTGGCGCGAAGGATCAGTAACGTTTAGGCTAAACCCGATTTACTTGAGCCATCTTTCGCATCTCTAGGCAGCCATCATCCAGCGTGTTTAAAAAGAAAACGCATGTAGCACAGGTTGGTCATCAACCAAGCTTTCTCAGCTGTGAACACGATGCTTGACTATAATTTCCACCTCACAACACCTCGCCTTTTCATATCCCACCTTGACCCTGAGAACGATGCTCATTGCGATTTCGCATACGAGCTAGTGTTCAGCCCAGGCATCACTGAACAGAGACCGGCAGTCGACGTGGAGAAAGAAAAGAGAGCGCCCCCTCGCGATATCGGCAAGGAGTTCATCGCGAAAGATGTTGCAAGAATGGAGCAAACAGGCTATGGTCGCTACCTGGTCTCGCTCAGACAAAACTCAGCTTTGAACATCAATTCACCGCACAAAGACGAAGACGTCCCTTTCTCGAAGAGACGACTAACGCCAATTGGCATCGTCTCAATGCAACTCGCACGGTTCCCGTCCGAACCGTCCGCACCAACGATCCCAGATGTCGGGTTCACTTTCCTTCCCCGGTACCTCGGAAACGGGTACGCTACTGAAGCTGCTGCGGGCTTGATGGAGCACTTTACAGATGAGAAAGAACACAAGGAGTTTTGCGGTTTTTGTAAACCAGAGAATACAGCAAGCGCAAATGTTTTGAAGCGATTGGGGTTCGAGGAGAGAGGTCTAAGGGATGTAGATGGAGTTATCGAGGGGGAGATATTGAGCGCTTTGGTCTGGACAATTGGCGTTGGGCATGAGAAGGGCGCGCTTGAGAAGCGAGGCTTGCAGCGCGTTGAGAAGCGGTCATGGAAGTGGTGGCGTTGAAGCTATTGGGCAGGTGTATACATGACATGTCTTTTCGCTAGATAATTAGCTCAGAAGACACTACTATACAGCATGCCCAATACAATCGCGATCATGCGCAGGTGTAGAAGAATTGTCCGATGAACGCGGTGCCGGACAGATGATCGGAAAGAGTCCGCGCGATGACGTCTGTGCGTCGGCCTAAGTCCTAGCGCAGTACAAGCCCGTCTTCAGCCGAAGCTCGCATCCGTCCGATGCTTCAGCTTCGTCGGATGTTCCGTCGAGTGTTTCCTTTCACCACAGGGCGCAGCCGCGCGCTCTGGTAGCCGATTGCTAACTATTCGCACTCAGCTGACGCGACATTATTCCACGAGATGTCAACACCGGATGCACTGGCAACGACGCGTCCGGAGAAACGGCGCAGACTTGAGCGCGTCGCAGCGGCCTGCGATCTGTGCAAGAAAAGAAAGGTAAAGTGCGACGGTGAGCAACCATGCGCCTATTGCACTCGGAAGGATCGCGCGGCTACTTGTACGTTCAGCGGCCCTCATGCACGGCCACAAGCGCATTCTGCCGGTCACACTCCCCTTCACGGTGTCCGTTCCGACGATATCCACCGTCATCACCCCCGTTCAACTGGCCATACACCTCATAACCGCGATCGAGATGAACAGGACGATGCTGTGCGACAAAGACTTGATCGCGAAGCTGCCGAGGATGGAACAGCACTCTCGCCAACATTGAGCAGAGATGATCAACAAGGCGATACAGTGGTGCCTCTTGAGGGTCGCATCCTCCGTGACGCCCAGGGAAAGTCTATCTTCATTGGCGACTGCGCCCCGCTGTCTTTTCTACAAACAGTCAGGCACCTCATCACATCCGAGGTAGACCCAAGAGCTACTGTCCAGGCCACTCGCGACCCCATCATCGAGATCGCTCGGCCTGAATCAGCGGGTCAGCCCTCATGCCCTCCAGTTGATGTGCGTCAAGTCGACGCACTAGTCGATGAATTTATGGCTGCAAGTAGTGGTCTCGTTCAGCTGTTCCAGCGAGAGGACCTAGCTCCCGAGCTGAAAGCGTGGGCAAGCAGCAGAACCTCGACCCCAGACGATGCTGCCGCTGCCGTCTTCTATCTGGTGCTTGCGATCGGCGCCCAAGAACGATATGAAGAGAAGGCGGAAGCCTGGTTCAATACTGCCCGGGACGTGCTTCTGAAGCATATGTGCAGTAGCATGAATGTTTCGACTGTCCAAGGCTTTGCCCTCGTAGCGATCTACATGCTGCGAGCATCTCAACCGAATGGCGCCTACTTGTACTTCTGTATGCAGATGAGATAATGTATTGAGATTTCACGATTCGCTAACGCGAAGCAGCTTTGGCCGCCCGCGCAGGATACGCAATTGGCATACACCGGACTGAAGTGAATGCATCTTTTGGCGAAACCATTAAGCTGGTGCGGGACCGAATTTGGAAGAGCATTCGCGTTACCGACCAATTGATCAGGTAAGACACGATCCCAAATATTCCCACCTCGAAAGTTGCACGACGTTACGCAGTCTTTACAGCTTTTTGATAGCATCTGCTAATATCCGCTTTGTCACGTAGCAACGCATTAGGTCGACCTCCGTCCACATCAGATGTCGACTGCACCGTCAAATACAACACCTTTGAAGACACCACCGAAACCGATGATGCTAATGTACTGGATGCTAGCGTCCAGATCTTCATGATTATCGAGCGTGTCGTCGTTGAAGTGTATTCTCGCAAACGTATATCACTACGCATTGCAGACTATGTCTCGCGACAATTGAAGAGCTGGGCGTCCAAATGGCTGCAGAAGCTATCTCATCTTACGACCAGACCTCATTCTCGAGAAGCCGTAGTGGGTGCCTGCTCCACGCTCTGCTCCTATTACTACGGCATCATGTTACTTACCCGACCTTTCCTCATCTACGAGTTATATGAGTACATGGGCGCTCCTCTAAAGAGCGGAGGCTCACAAGCTGATCACCAAGAGAAGCGCAAGTACGCAGATGCTGCACTTGATGCCGCATCGACGTTAGTGGACACACTGCTAGTCGTTACGATTACAAAGCAGTTGCCTCGTAAGATGCCACTGATAGTGTAAGTAAAGCCATCTTGATCAACTGACTTGGCTAACAAGTATGAGATCCTGGCTCTTCACAGCTACACTCGTTCTTGCCGTCGGCATCCTTGGCGACTCAGGACTCATGTTAGTGGACAGTTGCAAAGATGCAATCACTTGCATGGACTACTTCGGTCAAGTCGATCCTCATGCCCGGCAATACTCACAGGTCGCGCAATCGCTGCTCAAGATTACCACTGCACATGCCAAGAAGAGAGAGCTACATCTGCGCCGTAAAAGGAAGCAGGCATCGTCGGAATTGTTCGGCCTATTGCCTGGAGAGTCAACTAGCATCCCGGCCCAAGTAGACGAATGCGACGCACAGCTCGGCCACGGGTCGCTGGTCTCCCGAGACTCCGTTCAGCGCCACGTGTCTTCCGCAGCGCCACTCGATTGGACTATATACGATGCCGACTTCTTTGCCATGCCATGGCCGAGTGAGAACGATCAGGGTCTCCAGGATTTCCTGCAGCCGGGCACTCACAACCTTGATGGCGTATCAGTGGCTGACATACCGCTTTTCCCCATCCATGACCAGCAGATGGGCGGTGACTTCTTCCCGTAAGTTCGAGATGGATACGATGGCGTCACGAGTGGGTTTCTTCTTCAAGGTCTATCCCAAGACACTTCAATGCACGACTTTTGTTTCACTAGTCTCGTCTCTCGATGTTCTCAGAAACGGTATCAACTTGGTGCCTCCAGTTCCGACCAACTCTTGCGTCTTCGGCTTTTCGGCCGCCAACTCCGTCGAGGCGGAAGCTATATCTCGTCTCTTGGGACCGGTAGTGGGCTTTCCCATTCGGCTCGGTATGATGATGTACCTGGTCACCAAGGCGATGTGTTTGTCGCGGAAGCCGCTGAGCGCCGCGACGGCTTCGTTGAATGCGGACAGAAGCTCAGTGTTGTCTGCATGGCTATCGACGTAGCTTCGAATATTTGCGATTGCTTGGACATCGTCAAGAAAGCGGGCATGAGGCCCGGGCATGTATCCACGCATCTCTGCGTGAAAGCCGCCGCTTCTCGAATGGTCGACAGAGAGGACCGCATCGAAGAACTGCAATAGCGAAGACTGGCCGTTGGAACCACCACGATAAGCGCGCCATGTGCCTTTTCCGTTACCTTCGTCGTAGAAAACGCCGTTTGGTAGACCAGCACTCGCCATGTTCATGCTCCCAGCCAGGAAAGGTCGGATGGTGTGGTAGAACATCTGCGGGTCACACCGCTCATCCATGCGTTCCAAGAGCTGGCCAATGCGCTGCATTCCCTGTCGGAAGTATTGCAGGGCATGTATGATTGTTGCGGCATCATCGGTCTCGACTGCTTCGATAGCACCAAGCATGGCCTCGATCAATGGGCCTGCTCTTGCTTCCATGGCGTTCGAAATGATGAAGAACCACGACTCATCATCAGTTCCAGTCGCTGTGTGTAGTGTAACCATGTTCTCCGGTTGCGTCAGGTCGGCGTCTTCGTTGAGTGGTGTCCAGTTCCATAAGTTCAGAGCTGCATATGTGGCCACTGGATGCACCTCAAGATAGTCGGCAGTCTGAAGGAACGGCACAGTGATCGCTGGCGGTAGTCGCTAGCTTCCTTGTTAGCGACTGTAGACTTTACAGTACTGCGGTATCATGCTGACATACCTCTGATGGCTCGGGACCTGCCCATATGTAGCCCTGGGCTATGACAGCGAGCATCGAGTGTGCTCTCTGCCATTCTGCCTCACTGGAGAGATGCGACGTATCGAGAACGGGCAATTCATCGACCCATTGCCGTATTTGCTGTGTCTCTATGAGGGCTGGAAGTTTCTCAACAATCTTTTCCCATGGTTGATAGTAGGTATGCGGTAAGCGTCTTAGTGGTGGCTCGGCAGGCAAGAACCCGTTCTTCGAGATGCCGTAACTAGGGAGTGCATCGGGTGATGGGAGGACGGGAATCTTGTGAGGGCTCATTGCGGCGGAAAAGGTAGCGACGGTAAGGTTGCACAGTAATATCGGAAGGGTACGTCCTTCCTTGCAGCGGCGAACTCCTGCTTTATTGCGCTGAAGAGCGAGGTCCACACTCACCCACGGTCGCGTTCCGATAGTCTTCCGAGCTCGGAATGACGGAAGCAATGTCGGATGAGAGTCCGACACCCCAATGAAGAAGGTGCAAGCTTAGTTTGATGCAAGCCTCACGCCTCTTGCTTGGAGACGTAAGTGCCAGATCGTGATGCATATATAGTCTGACGCCGTCTTCTCAGTATCGATCTCACATTCGTACATCACATTGCATCTCGTTGGTTCCCCAAAACATACCCTAACCGACAGCACATTATCACCATGGACGCACCTGCCGCAATCCAACAGCTTCGCCAAGGGCAAAAGCCACAGTGGCCAACAAACGCCGAATCAGCAGACTTTGCGCATTCGCTCGACCAAAGTGCAGACATCCCCAAGACGTTCCGACCCGAGTTTGTTGTTCCCAGCAAGGCGCAACTAAAGCGGAAAACCCTGAACGATGACGCACAAACCGCCAACCCTGCATCAACACCAGACGACGAGGCCATCTACTTCTGCGGCAACTCTCTGGGTCTGCAACCGAAAGCTGTTGGCGAGCATCTGAACGCATACCTAAAGACATGGGGATCCATCGCGGTTGGTGGTCATTTCACCGCCCTCGAGGACTCGCCGCTCACACCCTACCAAGACATGGCTGCTGGGTGCTCAAAGAAGATGGCTGACATCGTCGGCGCATCACCTTCAGAAATCGTTGCCATGAACACATTGACCATCAACCTGCATCTGATGATGGCTGCATTCTACAAGCCAACGGAGAAGAAGCACAAGATTATGTGCGAGTGGCGACCTTTCCCTAGCGACTGGTATGCGATCGAATCGCAAATAGAATGGCATGGCCTCGACCCGAAGAAGTCTATGCTGTTGGTCGAGCCGGATGATGGCTACATCATGACCACAAAAAACATCCTTAAGCTCATTGACGAGAACGTCGATGAGCTGGCTCTCATCATGCTGCCCGGTATCCAGTACTACAGCGGCCAATTACTCGACATCCCCACCATCACCGCACACGCCCGCAAGCACAACATCACCATCGGATGGGATCTAGCGCACGCTGCAGGCAACGCCGAGCTGAAGCTACACGACTGGGATGTCGACTTCGCGTGCTGGTGCACGTACAAGTACATGAACGCTGGTGCCGGTTCCATCGCCGGTGCTTTCATCCACGAGAAGCACGGCAACAACGACCACTACAAGGGATTGAAGGGCTGGTACGGCCACGACAAGTCATCACGCTTCCTCATGGACAACAAGTTCGTTCCTACACCCGGCGCGCAGGGCTTCCAATGCTCAAACCCATCGATCGTCGACCTCACATGCTTAGCTGGTTCGCTCAGCGTCTTCGAGAAGACTTCCATGGCCGACCTACGATCACGATCTCTACTCCTCACCGCATACGCTGAGCACCTCCTCTCCCAAATCGCGGCGCGCAACATCAAGGACGGCAAATTTCCCTTCGAGATCATCACACCCACAGATCCCCGCTTCCGCGGCGCTCAACTGAGTGTACTGCTTCCAGAAGACGTCTTTGATGACGCGAGCGCGGCGCTAGTGGAGAACGGTGTTGTTTGCGACAAGAGGAAACCAGGCATCATTCGTGTCGCGCCGGTACCAATGTACAACACTTTCAGTGATGTTTGGCGATTTATGCAGATCTTTGAGGAGGCGATACGGGAGAAGGGTCAAGGGCAGGCTCAGGAGCAGCAGTCGCAAGGGACGGCGGTTGAGGCGAGGTTGTAAATTAGTTGTTGTCAAGTAGATATTCTTTTAGCAGCGTTAGACATTAATGCATATCACAAAGTTTGTCTTAATACTCCACTGCTGCTTTCGTACAGTCCTATGGCAATGTTTTTGGAGTCCAGCTCGATAATACATGTGTTCATCCTTTGACGTCTATTGAATTTGAAGTCACACTTGTCTTGCGTTCGCGCACAACGAGCACGTTGCATTTGAGTCATGTTTCATATACACAGGCTCTTGTGTTGACGATACTTTTTTTTTTTCGAGAGGACCTAATTGGATGGGAACAAATGGATTTCAGAGGCTGTGAGTCGCGCGTCTGCGTCGCATCACCGCAGTACCATGGTTCACACACACAGCCTTTGCGACGCTCTTTCACTTTCACTCGACGCTTAAACATACCCGGAAGAACGTCGATCCGGCCGCAAAGGTTCGAGTAAAACCTAACCTCTATCTCTTAAGCTACTTCTCTCACCCGATACTGCAATTGTGACCAACGACTACGATGGCGGAGGCAGCGCAGACACAAGCTCTGGCCTCACTCAAAGGGTAACTTCCATTTCTAGTTCACGTTCTTGTACCCTTTCATCGCATCGACATTCTACTAACTCACTGCCAGCTCTCTCAAATCGGGCGCATACTCCGATCTCACCATCAAGTGCGGTAGTGACATGTACAAGGTCCACAAGGTCATCGTCTGCGAGCGCGCCGAATTCTTCGCCCGTGCGATCAAGTTTGGCGGACAAGTAAGTGCTTGACATAGTAAACATATACCAGAGACTGATACTTCAAGAAGGAATCTGAGAGCGGTACCGTCGATCTTCCCAAGGACGAACCGGCCATTGTCAAACTCCTGATTCAATACCTCTACGAAGGCGAGTACGAACCTTTGCTGCTAGACGGCGAATCTTCGCTAGCTCCAGCATCTGCCAAAGTCAACGATACTCGCCCGAAGCATAATCACAACGGGCTAGCATACAGCTACGACTTTCCACACACGTGTGACACGAACAACATTTGTAGCAGCTCTTTTGTCTGCCCACATCATACGTGCCATCACACAAATTGGAGTCTTTGTTGTGCCAATCGCAAATACACTTGCGAGATGTGCAACCGTGCCGCCCCTTCGCTACCTTCACTCAACGGCCAAGCCGATCAACTCCTCCTCCACTCCAAGATATACGAGTACGCAGACAAATACGACGTGATCGGACTCAAGGACCTGGCTATCGAGAAGTTCAGCCGTTCATGCAAGCACTTCTGGGACAAGGACGAGTTCTCCATCGCTGCCCACCATGTCTTCTCCACCACCGTCGACACAGACAAGGGTCTTCGCGATATCGTCAGTGCCACGATCGGTGCACACATGGGACTGGTCAAGAAGCCTGAAGTCAAGGTCCTCATGACTGAGTTCAACGGTCTTGCTTTGGGTATCTTAGAAGAGAAGATCGTTGAGCATGGTTGGTAGAGAGACGTAACGTACTTCTACTAACTCCGACTGGATCTGTGGACACATTGGTATTTGATGGAGCGGCATTGGAAGTGTTCAACAAGGGAGCGGGTGATAGATAAGCGCTTGGAAATCTTGCAAGAATAGGGCAACAAAGGGCCCGCACATCATGTCCCTGGTTGCAAGCTACGATGACTAGCATCCATAGCCCAGAATTCATTCGTAGTTCACGTCTATTGCATCCAAAAAAACGATGATGTTCCGTTCAGTACCCGCCCTTCAGGATATGCTCTCTCTAGTGAGCCTGACGATTAGCAAACACATGCATTTGATGGATAAACCGGAGGTGAAGGCTCTGCTCACAGAGCTCAACGGGTTGTTGGTTGGCCTGCTGAAGTTGACGAGGAAGAAAGAATGAGTATTTGGCGTGAGCTAAATCATGAGACAGTTTGAGGATAGATATGAGTGCAATAATGTAGAAGGACAAGAACCTACTTCCTAGGCGACGCGATCCTTAGCAGCCCCAGATAAGAATCATTTCACCTACTGCCTCTCCTTCGTGCAATGTAATCCCTTGTACCTTCCTCACCTACAAATTGTAGCGGTGGATCTGTCCAGTCATGCATATATGCATGCCTACGTATTCTTGACGGCACTGCCAACTTTGGTTCACCTTCACTTCGCAATCGATTGCACCCGGAAGAAAGTCGCGCCGACCGTAAAACTTTAGGGAGAACCTATCTGGTGCCCTCTACCTCTTGAGCTTCCTCACTCACCCAACACCGCAACCGCGATCAACGCAAAGATGGCGGAAGCTGCGCGCAATCAGCTGCATCTCACATTCAAGAAGTACGCACACCATCACTGATTGAAGACATGATAAACTGACAACTCATAGTCTACTCGCCTCTGGTGAGTTCTCTGATCTCACTGTGACCTGCGGACCCGACTCGTACAAGGTTCACAAAAATGTCGTGTGTTCCCGCGCGGAGTTCTTCTCTCGCGCTGTCAAGTTCGGAGGCAAGGTACGTTTGGCGGTTCATGCTTGTTGCTCTTGGGGCCCTGCTGACTTTAGTCCAGGAGACTGAGCAAGGCAGTGTCGATCTTCCAGAAGATGAGCCCGCTATCGTCAAACTGATGATGCAGTACATCTACGAGGGCGAATACGATCCTGCCCTTCCCGACAGTGGATTGAGCAGTTCTATACAGCCTGAGGTCACAGCATCTTCGACCCCCACGGCATCGCAAAGCAGAAACCGTATGAAATCTCGATTGAAGGAATTATCCGAAACGACGCTTTCATTTCCTCACGATTGTATATCATATGGAAACGGCTGCGAAGCACCCTATTTATGCAGCCACCATACCTGTGGCTATCAGTGCCACCACACATGCCAAGGCTTCACCTGCGAGGTGTGCTATGTCGCACCAACAGCACCTACAGCCCTGCCTATCCCCGGCTCATCTACACAGCTGATGGTCCACGCTAAGCTCTATGAAATCGCCGACAAGTACGACGTAGTTGGTTTGAAAGAGCTGGTGATTGAGAAGTTCAAGCGAGCTTGCCACAGCTTCTGGAACGATCCCTCCTTCGCAGCTGCGGCTCATCACGTTTTCTCCACCACCCCGGAACATGACAAAGGCCTGAGGGATATTGTGTCGAAGACCATCGCGGAACACATGGCCGAGCTGGTGAAGAAACCTGAGGTTGAGGCGCTGCTTACCGAGTTCAATGGACTGGCCTTTGGCTTGCTCAAGATGAAGACGGAGGCTGGTTGGAAGTGATCGACTTGACTATGGCCGCCTGAGGGGGGAACAGCGAATGCGCTATGAAGGATCAAGAATGGTAGAAGAACATAATCTGAACCACAAGGCGAAAAGAGGTTAAGAAGCATAGAAGTGATTCGGCTGCTGGATACCTGAGGAGTAGCCAACCAAACAGAATACCCAAATGCTACACTCATGTTTGCGATAGCACCGAGTACGTAAGAACACGCCTAGTTATGCAACGCCATACCCATGACCCCTAACAACACCTATTTCGGATATACCACCTAGTCCACGTTCTCTGCACATAAATCGTTTCATCCCATGAAAGCACATTTATTCCCCATACCCTCCTTGTCTACTGCAACCTCACCTCTCCCTCCTCCCTCTTCAACCCAAACTTACTCAACCGAATCCTCGGCACAACCCCCACCAACACTAACACACTCGCAACAATAACAGCCCAATGCTGCACATGCGCCAAGTTCAAATTATACGTCGTCCACGTCGCCGCGCAAATCGTCGCAAGCCCCAGCACCGCAATGACATACCCAGCCACCCTATGATACTTGTAAATACTCTTCGCGTTCTCCACGCTGCCATAAAGCTGCGGCACATAATACTGCGTGAACCCCACAATCGCCTGGATGTATACGAGGATATAAAAGGTAAGGCCGAGGCGCGCGTGCGCGGATTCAAAGTGTTCGTGACCCGGGCCGGCTTTGTTCATTTCGATGATGATGAGGCCGGCGGTGAGGGCGGAGGCGCCGAGCGCGTGGAAGAGGAAGTGGGCGAGGGTGCCGGCGCGCTTTTGTTCGGGGGTGTGGGTTGGTTGGAGGACGAGGGCTGCTTGGATGGCTAGGAGGAAGCCGGCCTAGGGGGTATCAATGATACGGTTGGCGGGAGGGGGTGATTAGGGTGGTATTGTGGCTTACGGAGTTGAGAAGCTGTGTGGTTGGGTGGTTAGTTTGGTGGTGGGCGAGGTTTGGGGTGTAGGGATGGGGCTTACTGGGTGGGCGGAGAAGAAGATGAGTTTGTTGGAGAAGATGGCTCCCCAGATGATGGCTGCGAGCTTTTGACGCGTTAGTATGGGCGTTGTAGTCGAGGTGTCGAGGTGGTGCTTACAATCCATATTCCTGCTTGCGCGATTGGAGCGGTGCCTGAGTCTGTTAGAAGCCTTCCTTACAGCGTATGCTTGACAGCACATACCAATCCACAGGTTATGGTAGAGCGGCTGTCCATGCATCTGGCTCGCATCTCCTCTTCTGCCTAGAAGCGGCTCTTGTTCACTCTGTCCGCGCGCCGCGGCGGCATTTGGTGGGATTCCCGTCGCAGAAGCCATGCTGTGATGTAGAAACTCAAACGCGATGCTATGAATAGCCTGAGACTCGAGAGAAGGTCGAAGGATATAGTGGCAGCCTGCGACAGGTGTCTGAGGGGTGCGCTTCGGACTTTAGGCGATGAGGAAGCTCCGGCAGACAATGACGACAACACGAACCCCTGTTCGTATCCACCAATAAGCGCGATGCGGATGTCAGATGCGTCGAACTCCGGCCAATCAGCACCGAGATGACTAAAGCGTGGAGAAAGTGGTGATGTTTGCATTGCGGGTTTTGGGGGGTGGAGAAGGCGTTCTTGACGCGACATGCATGTCTAGCGCGTCCACAACGGTCGCGTGAGACATCTTCATCGCACCACCAGACGCAAATGAGGAAGCTGAGCATCGGTATTGGTGGTTTGAATGTATTCTCGTCTCCGTTACATCGTTGCTATTGTACAAGTTCGCGCTCATCCGTAGCGCTGCGTCAGCATAGTCATCCCCGCTGCGTGTTGAGGTATCAAGTCCATGTATAATATCCCCCCTCTTTCTATCCCAAGGCAGAGTTTGCTGCCATAATGCCGCCTAATGAACCATACCACGGGGAATCATCCTCCACCAGCTGCGTTCGCTCCAAAGTAACAATACGCCGTCAAATGCTCATGCATTCGCCTTGAAAACATTACATCCATTAACAATCCAACTGCATAACCAAACTAAGGATATGAGATGCGAGAAGCATCCCAAGTAACAACCAGCGCCTCTAGTGCGATGGTAGTAACGTGGACCACTGTCATGTCCGGTGTGCCTAGTAGCACGTCCAGTGGCTCCCCAACTGCGCCGTTCGCTGATGCAGGTAGGAGCAAAATCGAGTACCGTGCCTCGATACAATGTGTACGTGTGCGTAAAGGTAAAGTCACCCACTCTCACTTCTTCTTCATGAGAGCAGGCTGTTTCGAAGGGTCGGCCGGATCCAGGAACTTGGTCATGGCAAGAGAGAGTTCTTTGAACTCCACCGGCTTCGTGACGTAAGAGTTGAAGCCTGCTTCCACGCACTTTGCGTAAACATCACCGAGGACGTTCGCAGAGAGCGCGATGATAGGGTGGCGGCGGTAGCTATGCTTCTTCTCCCACCGCCGTATTTCTTTGCAAGCTTGGTACCCGTCTTTGTTGGGCATGTGTAGATCACACTGGACGACGTTAGTGCTGTCCGAAAGAAACAGACGTTGCTACTTACGAGGATGATCGAGTAATAGCCGGGTGGCTTTGCAAAGACGGTATCGGTAGCTTGAACACCATCCTGTACCGTCTCTGTTTCAATGTCGATCCTGGCAAGGAATTTCAAGATGACCTGAAGACTATCAGTATGCGCAAGAAGTTACATGTAGAGGCCACTAACCGTTTGGTTGATCTTGTTGTCTTCGACCAGCAAGACCTTGTGGTTCTTGCCACCCACGCGGCGCTTGAGTTCTTCAAAGACAAGCTTTTGGCTGACAACGACCTGCTGTGCGCTGTCTTGATTGCGATCCGTGCTAGACTCACGCTCTTTCTGTGGGTCGAAGATGATAGCAAACTTCGAAGGTTTGAGAGGACGGTAGATGAACTGGAGGCGTCGATCCATGTGAAGCTGCTCGTAGTCATAGACCGGTGCTTCTTTGATCAGCTCCTTCTTCTGTGATGGATCCGAGACTACGACAACGGATGTGTTGCCGTACGCCATGGAGCTGAAGATCTGGTCCACGATGGCGTGCACCTCGGCAGTGTCGTGCAGCACGAGAACAACATGGGTGAATAGCACGGGATTGTCGCCGCCCATCATCTTCTGCGCCTCGATGACGCTAGCTTGACCCGTCACTTGATGAGGTATCCCTTGAGGAAGCGTGTTCCTGATGTGTCGGATCGTAGCTTCCCTACTATGCTCCAATGGGCACACCACCAGAATAGAATACATGGGAGGTTGTAGAGCACTGCCAAGCGGTGACAGGCTACGATGGGGTGAGGACGCACGGAGGGTCTTGTCCGAATCGATGGAGGTGGAAGAGTCGGGCTTGGGGGCTTCCTCGCTATCGGTTCGTTTGGGTGGCAGAGCTAGTTTTATATCCGGGTCTGAAGCTGGGCTGGCCTCTTGCAGGTACGAAGACGCAGAAGATCTTTCCGAACGCAAGCTCGACTGTCCAGTAAGAGCGGCACTTGTCAAAGAGTGATCCGAGCTACCAGAGGAGAGGGACGGAGAGTCGCGCGAACGCTCAGAGGCTGACAGACTAGATGCAGGCGACCTGACAGGTTCGCTCTTGTCCGAGGAGACGCTTGATACGCGCTTGATTGGTGCTTGGCTAGGATTTTGTGACTGAACAAATTTCTGAAGAGCCGAGGGCTGGGGTAGTGGAGGCACTGCTGGCACTGCGAGCGGTGTCTCAAAAGCTGGTGTGCCTGGTGTCGACACCTGCGGCCTGGGGAAGTCGTCGGCAGTGGGAAGCCCAAACTTGATCGTGAAGAAGAAAGTCGAACCCTTGCCTGGCGCACTTCGTGCATCCATTCTACCTCCATGTAGCTCCACGAACTGCATCGAGATAGCCAAGCCGAGTCCTGTTCCGCCGTGTTGCCGGGTACTGCTGGCGTCGATTTGACTGAATCGCTTGAACAGGTACTTGGCCTCAGCATCTGTGAAGCCTTGACCCGTGTCCACCACTTCGAACCGAACCATGGTCTCGTTGTCTCGCAGGGGTCGAGATCGATCGGGTGGTTGCAATCTGCATCGGATAAAGATTTCTCCTCGCTCGGTGAACTTGATTGCATTGCCAACCACATTGAGGAGAACTTGGCGAATGCGGAACTTGTCACCCTTGACCTCTGCTGGCACACCTTCGTCCACGAGGTAGTTGAGTTCAAGGCCTTTCTGTATGGCTAAGCCCATATTCAAGTCATTGACCTCTTCAAGAAGCGACGGCAGATGGAGCCATTCCATGGACAGCTTGATCATACCGGCTTCGACCTTTGACAGATCGAGAATGTCGTTGATGAGGTTCAGCAGACTGTCGGTACTAGCTTTTATGATGTTGACATGCTCCAACTGCTCAGAGTTGAGCGTGCTGTCAAGCAGGAAGTTGACCATGCCGGAGATACCGTTCAGAGGAGTACGGATCTCATGGGACATGTTACTGAGGAACTTGGACTTTGCATCCATGGTTTCCTTCAACGTCTGCTCGAGCAGCTTGTGGTCATTGATGTCGGTAGCTGTGCCATACCAGGTCTCTTCATCGCCGTCTTCAGAGAGTGAATTCTCTAACAAGATCCTGACCAGATGCCACCTGTAGTCACCGTCTTTGTTGCGAAGTCGCACTTCGGTGGAATAAGATGCCCGTCCATCTGCATCCTTTGCAACCCTGAGAATACCAGTGCTTGCTAGTTTGGACAACTTGGCCTGAGGCATGTCCATGCGGTCTGGTACTGCTCCACCTGGGCTGGTGATTGTTCGCTCAGTCTCCGATGAAGCGTCCGATGAGTTTGAGTCGGTTCTACCGTGATCTGCTGGCATCGAAGTGGGCACATTAGCGACTCCGTGTTCATCTAACTCGGGAAGCTTGCACTTGACAACGTCATCAGGGTGCACATGCTCCAAGAAGCCGTTGCCCAGGGCATGAATCTCACTCTGACCAGAGAAAGAAATCCATTGGGAATTGCAAAACGTCAAACCCCTGCGATCTGACACGACAAACACAATCTGTGGGCTTGAATTTGCTAGCGCGCGGTATTTGGCCTCCGACGCAGCTGTCTCTTGTTGTCGGGAAGAATTGAGTTCGGCAATATGCTGTTCGTGAAAGTCCATGTTGGTGCCGATCCAGTGAACAATCTGTTGACGCTTGTTCTTGAGTGGGGCGACGCGTACATAAAACCATCGGTATTGTTGATCAAATCGTTGCAGTCTCACCTTCTTCTGCAATTGCTGGCCAGTGCGTAGCGATCTGCTCCACTCTTCCAGATACGAATCGCGATCCTCTGGGTGAATTGAATCCCATGGGTCTCGTAACACCTGGCGTTGATCCTGGCCTCTATAGATGAGGAACTTGGAGTTGACCCAGGTGATTGCTCCGGTATTGGGAGCGGCGGTGAAGATCTGCACCGGTAACGAGTCGGTGATTGTGCGGAGTAGACTTTCTGAAGGAGGTGGCATTTCAGACGTTTCGGTGATGGACGGTCTCCTCACGTGACCATGCGAAGCGTGAGGCTTTCCTCCGGGTGTTGTCGCCGAGGGCAAAGACTGGAACGACGAGCTGAAGTCTGCGCCGTATGAGTGCAAGAACGAGTGGCCTCGATTGGAGTTGCTCTGCATCTGGGCGCGACGCGTGCTCAACGACTCATCTGGCTTATCGTTACGTGCCTTGGAAGCATCGTCATTGGCCTGTTCAGCTACTGGGTTTACAGTCACTCTCTTTGCAGGACGCTTGTCTGTCTTGCGTGCAGCTTGTTCATGAGGCGTCGAAGTTGGAGCATTCAGCGTTTTGCCATATTGTTTTCGCGCATCAAAGTAGCTCTCAACCGCTTCGCTGCCTGCGAGATGGCCAGGCGTGCCGCCAACGGAGTGTCTGCTCGAGAATCCGACGGAAGAAGTGTCCCAGCCAGGTGTTCCGGCGATGGAGTCTCCGGGACTGTGCTTGGATCGACCCGAGTAGTCGGAAGGACTAGTAACACTGCCCGCTGCTGAGTTGGTGATGTCTTCCAGATCAAGGTGGAGCAGATCGTCGAGGCTATCGGAATCCGAGGGGAGGCTAATGCCGCCAGAAGTGCCAGCTGTCATGCGCCGCTGTCGGACCGACGCGACTTGAGCTTGAGCGTTGGTGAAGTGCCAAGCATTGGAGAATGACGTAGCAAGGTGAGGGCCAAGGTGCTTCAATGAGTTGGTAAGGTTCCGCGGATATGGCACGATGGGCGACAGTATGGAAAGGATCGCAATGGGCGCTTTCCGCACAAAGCCCTCCTTGTTCAGCGACGTTGACATGGATTGTTCGGACTGTCTCCGCGTCATTGACGGCGTTTGATTTGGCGTGGAGGTTGCTGGAGACGCCATGATCTGAGATAGAATGGGATGCACCAGAGGTATGTGTGTGACGGTACTGGCTTTGTCAACGCCAATGGCCTCAACCATGCCAAATTGTGTGTAGTCTTGAGGTGAACGCGACGGGTTGAATGTCTCCTCGTCGACATTGCCTGTAGCGAAGAACGGATTGGCATCAGCATCATTCTGGATAGCCGGGGACGGTGCGGGGGACTGTGCCCATGGTGAGCTTGGGTACTGCTCGTACTCTTCATAGCGTTGCGGCAGGCGGGGATCATTCGTAGCCAGATTGGCGCGGCCACGAGCGGCGGCCGCTTTGTGAGCTTCTTGTGCAGCAGCACTACCCTGTATCGCAGAAGGTTTATTCTGTTCCGATTTGTCCTTACCCAAGTCCTCTTTAGATGTCGAATGCGAAGTCGAGTAATCTCTAGTCAGAGTGACCAAGCGCCCTCTCTCCAAGACACGGTTAACACCGGTGTTGTCGATGAGGGCATCTGGCTCGTGATCGAGAGCACGCAGTACATGGTACACAGCGCTGGGCGGCGAAGGCTCTCCCATACTGGAGAATTCTGGGTCGCTAAAGGTAGGTCCACCTGTTGGTGTCGAGCCAGCGAATGCGGGAGAGGCGCCATCAAAGGAAGCCTGTGAGACCTGCCTTAGCGGATGCTCTGGCCTGGCAGCCATATGGGGTGCGTGGCTGGCAGACCTCATTGGACCTCTTGGCCGGTTGAGCGACGCCGATGTAGACGTATCTGGAGCGGCGCTGGATTTCTGGCGTTCGTGGCCGGCGAAGGAGTGATGCGAGAACAGCTTCGGTCTGCGTTCCGGGATCGTGGTGGAAGGAGGCATGTCGGCATGTTCATAGTCGCGTGAGCTTGGGTTCTCTTCCGACTGGAAATGGCTTGCTGCTTCCTGATAGGTGGCTGCATGTGGACTTCCCTCGTTTCCCATGGCAGTAAAACTAGTCTTCTGGCCCCATGGCACGTTCTCGATATCAGACGCATCCGCTGGTACTGCCAGGGTGGCTCTTTCCGCTCCATAGTGGTCGCGCATGATGGACGTTACCGCCGTCCACCAAGCAGCAAGGCCGGGCTCGGCACCCAGGCGCAGTACGATGTCGTAAAGATTGGGACTCGGGAATCGCGGGTCTTCTGCATCCGGGCTCTGGTAGTTCCTTCCTCCGGGGGCGAAGGGCGTGCTTGATGCGGCGGGGGTGCTGCTCTCGGAGGCGATGCGCTCTTGCGGGGTCGCGTACTCTCGCGACTGCCCCGCTGCTACCGTGGGCGACAGGCTGGTGAAGGGCATGTGGAATGCCGAGGCCCATCGTGGCGTGTTTGGGACTGAAGGGAAGGGGTAAGATGGCGTTCGAACGGCATGGGTGGCGGCGGGCGTGGGTGGCATGCTGCCGCGAATGGTCCTCGCAGACTCGGTCGATTCGGTCGACGTGGTAAGGCCCGTAGGGAGCGGCGGGTTCGGGCTCGGGGTTGGACTGATAAAGGCGCCCTCGAGGGTGGGCGAGATGCCCGGCATGGGTTCCTCCTTGATGGGCGATATGCGGCGAGTGCCCAGCGCGACAGCGGAATTGTTGGAAGAGCTCCGCATGCGCGCCCGCTGCTGTTGCTGCAGCATCTTCAGCTGCAGGCCGCGCAGCCGCTCCACCTCCATCTCGTCGGGCGAGGCCTCGCTCAGTGGCGCTTCTTCCGCGGCCAGCTCGTCGGCACCAGCGCCTTCGTCCTCGTCGCCCGGCTGGCTCTCTGCTTCGCTCAGTTCGCTGTCGGTGGCGGCATCGTCGCGGGGGTTGCTCGGGTTCCGGGTTCCGGGCGAGGGCTGCGAAGTTTGCGACTGATATGTCTTCGCGTCGCTGGCGGCCAGTCTCTGCAGTGGCGGGCGCGTCGTGGGTGGCGGCGCAGTCTCTCTCTTTGAATCAGGAGAGGGTGACGGGGCCTTTGTCATTATTGCATTCCCCAGTCTCCCACAGAACGCGCAGGTGGTGTCGTGATGGGGTCGAGGCAGCGGCGGGCATAGATGGGATGGTGAGCTATGACGTCGCGGAGTGTGCTCCTGGCAAGAATGGACGGTGAAGCAGCCTCAGCACATGGACAGGTCAACAACACAACTTAATGGCCACCAGTGGTTTCGCGCTGTCAGACTGCCAGCAGAGGCCGAATCCCACCGGAGCGCAGAGACAAGCTGGGAGTGCTTGGTGAGTAAGAATCAGGTGGTGGGCTCATGCCAGGATCAGGAGCAGGATAGCCTCGCGCCCGTGGGCTTCAACACACGCCCGCATACACTTACAGAAACGTCGAGGCCGCGCACTGCACGCGCTGGACAAAAGCAGTTTGGATGGATCGTGGATCGCGTAAATGATGTGTATTGGCGCGAGGGACCGTCTTGCTCCTGTCTCATTACAGCCGCCCGCTTGGACGAAATTGACTGTTGGCTGCGAGCCGCTAGATCACGGCCAGCGACGTCATCAGGGTTTCTCGATACTCCAGCCGCGCCTACGCCGATCTGGAAACCTCCAGCGACGCCCAACCTCCACAGCCCGTACTCACCGCACCGCATTCTCCCTCTTCGCTGTCTCTACATCGTGATCCTGCCTTCACCACCCATCCCCGTCGACCGCTCTTGGGGCGCTCTACATGGCGTCAACTACTATTTTAGCGATGGCCAACGGGATGCCACGTTTCCCCATTGGATGGGTACCCCTGCACATTTCCAAGACGGTTTCCCATGCCGTCCCAAACCGGCTAGCGCCAGCAGCTTTCCTTCCGGAAGCCTGAGAGACGCTCAACGCACCACCGTTCTCGACACTACTCAAGAGCCTCACTAGCGACGCTGCTGTCCCTCTCTCGATCAACGTGTTGAATACGCTATCCCGCAAATTGGGCCGTCCTGTCACGTCTCGGCCCGAATCTGCGCCTGCCTACAAGTAGCCCATGGAGCCACTTGTGGTGTCATTATACTGGAGGGCGGACCATGCGGCTGGATTTTGCAGTATACCAGAGTACACTAGGAAGCCTCAGCGGCTTTGGCGCTTCCATTCTTCTAGCTCCTGTCAAATGCGGCGGGGCGGAATCCCAAGACAACGTGGTAGCAATGTGCCGAGCAGCTGCCATGCGAGACACGCTGCGCTCCAAACTTTGACAATCTCTACCCGTCAGCTGGCGGGTACCTGCCTCACGTGCGAACACCACGGCTGACAGGTACCCACTGCCATGCCCGCGTCGCCCTCGGTAGAGGTATCGTGAGATCAGACAATGCCTGCTCGCAGCCCTGTACTCGCAATCTATCTTCATCCGCGACTTACCGCGCTTCCGTTCCGACGCTCGGAACGACTACCCCTACCAATCATCATCCAGAAGTCTTCGAACGGGTACCTTACATTGCCCATTACTACCCAATGCAGATCTCCTGGCAATCTCAATATCGAGACGCCACAGCCGTCTTCGGTGAGGATGATCTTTGTGCAAACCGTTATCCAGGGTCCGCGGAGCCCTACCTTTGGAACAACCACGGTACGCAATCGCCGATCAGATCGTGATGATCGCCACCCCAATGACGCGAACATGAACGTTTGAGCCGCGCGTAGCCTATCCGTGTGAGATCTGGCATTACATCTCTCTATGAAGAACTATGATTATTACTGAAAATTGAGCTGTTTCGCATACTAAATGGCATTCGACCGAAGGACCATCTACATTTTACAAATACCATCTGCCTGCGCACCAGCATCGGATTTAACCTTGCAGCACAGACCACGTGAAAGTGTCTCGCCATTTCCTGCACCAGTACGCGAACAACAACAACAACACTCGCCATAGACGATATCTCCCAAATCAAAGGGCCAGCTACCATACGATCTATCAAAATTCACTTTTGCGTCACCGGAAGGTAAGCGGGTAAAATGGCCAAGCGAATGACAAATACATCTACTACTAAATTTCCAGCAAGCCTCAAACACACCGACAAGACAAGACCGCCCATTCGACAACCATCAATGAAACGACCACGAACCACATTGATCTAGACGCTTCCAGCACTTTGAACATCCTCGTCTTTTCCAATACCTCTGCGAGTACTGGCCGCGCTACCAGTATTACCCGCACAGAGATCCAGCACCATATCTCCTCTGAACTCCGCATGACAAACCATACTCGGCTCGTTCGTATAGGTCCTGCCAAAGTAATATATTGGGCAATACTCCGTGCCCTTACACTCGATTGGACGACATACACTGGCATCACAGCCGTCTTTCGCTTTGAACGATACCTTCAGCCCGTTCTGATACCCAGGACACATGCCGATCTTGTGTTGCATATCCGTAGTGGACATTTTGAGATCGTTGAACTTGTTATGGCCGTACAGAGTAGGATGCTTGGCAGGATCAGCGCAATCCAGGAGCGAAACGTCTTGGGGTGAAGTCAGTAAAGATGTTACTCAGCTAAGACGCGTGCTATACACTTACCATACCAGAGCTTCTGATACGTATCACCAGCAGTCTTGTTCTGCACCAACCCATACTCAAACTGCAGAATCTCCGCTGGTTTGCTGGGATTCCACATCTTGAACACTGGACTCTGACCGCGCAGCTTATCGTATTCCGCACAGTAGTCGGCTGGGCGCTGATCGTCATAGGCTGGGCAAGTGACGCGAAAAGGCTCTGTGTAGCTTCCTCCAACTGCGATAGTATGCTTGACGTGATCTTGGTAGAAATCCCAGGTTCCGTTGCCTCCTTTCTCCTCGGACCTATCACCACCCAGGGTATAGGCAGCGACCGAGTTTAGATCAAACTCTTCTTGGCAGTGGTTGTTGATAATGACATTACCGTACTCCGGTCCTTCATCCGGCACCAAGCCGGCTGACTCCGCGGGGGATGCTGGTGACACACCCGATGCAGTCGCGCCAGCACCGCCAGCGCCAACGCCGGTACCAGAAGCCATAGCCGGAGGTGCAGAGCCCGCAGAAGACGCCACAGGCACGCCCATGGACGACATGAACTCCAGGACCGAACTCATTGACATACTCCCCTCAGCCGCCGATGTCAAGCCCAGAAGCGGTGCCTCGCTCTTCTTCACTACGCCTGCGTGTGAGAAGGGGCTGCTATGTTGACCGTGTGGTACTAGTATCAGGGCAAAGCCCAAAAGCATGAAGTACTCGGCGTAGAAAACCATCGTTGGTGTTGGGAGTTGAAGATATGAAGATATGCGCTATGAGGAACTGATCGTCTGCGTAGCGTTGTTGGTAGAGATCGATAGAGAAGAGCGTTGTATTTTGCATGTAGTAGAAATCTGCAGGAAAAAGGTGTATGTGGAGGAAGATGAAGGGAACGAAAAGAGTTGAAATATGTGTAGTATTCCTGCCATGAGTCTTTAACGATGACTTGGAGCGATGCGGGAAGTGACTGGCGTTGACAGACGTCGGCTTGACTCGTACGGTGACAAGATTGTCAACGTCGCTATGAATCAACGCTTTTTCTGTATGTAAGAGTCATGGTTCTGTGCTGGTAAAACATCAGCCCATCCTCATCTCATATCTATTCCATCTCGTGCCCTGTAATGTTTCCGCCATCTTGCATCCGAATCTAATCACCACGTCGCCTGCCAATCAATCTCCAACATCGAACCACTTGAGCAACTCAACGTTATACTCCTGAAATCCAGCAACAAGATCCGCAGCACCTACATTTGGTTGCTGTAGAAGAGTAGCGTAGAAGCAAGCTACACGTGTCGCGAACACACCCGGCCTGAATGCCACCCATTCCCGACGTCCCTCCGACTCCTGGGCAAACAGACCTAGCTCGCGATGCGCGGATAGAGCAGGCAGGGATGCATCTTTCCAAGAGGACGCTCTCAAAGTCTGCTTGTGGGCCCGCCAGTCCGCACCTGCCTTTCCGTGGTAGTTGGTAGCCATCTGGAAGTCTTGCAATTTAGCGTGAATCTCGTGCCACAACAACATTGATGTATACGATTCCTTGAAATCAGCGGTACCCAATTCTCTTTTCATTCTCTTGCACGTTTCGGTGGTGGACAGCTTGCATCGGATGAACTCGAGCTTTCTGGTCTTGGAACCCTGAGGGGTCGACGTCTTGAGCACCTCTACCAGCTCATCAAAGGCGGCTTGTTGGTGGTAAGACTCTTCCGTTGGTTTAGGGTTCACGTAAGGATCTCCAGTTGGGTCCTCATGTGGTGGAGCATGTGTTGCAACGTCCTGCTGTGGTTGCAGAGCCATGTTCATGAACCGGTCGATCAGTGATGTGTCGTCGCTAGATTCGACCTGACGACCGTCCTCGATGCTGGGAGGGAGACCGTTGCAGTTGACATCGCTTGCTTGTGTTGCAGATCGCTCATCCCAGCGTGTATACGGGGGACAATCTGTGTCCGGGGTGGTCGTAGTCAAGGAAGAGTTTTCTTCTTGCTTGTCCGCCTTCTTCAGCCTTCTCTCCTCCAGAGGCAGTGTATCAATCTCCGCGTCACCTTGATCTCCGAGAGTACCTCCAAGCGTAGTACCGTTATAAGCAGGTACATCGCTGATGGTCCTGATATCTGGCGATATAGTAGGGGAGTCCTCCTGCTTGATAAATCCGTATGATTCCGAGTCGTCGCTGGGATTGTCATCACCGCCATAAGAACTTGTGACAGTGCTCAGAGCGACATCTTCGGGTGCGCTATTACTGGAGGGGCCCCTGATGAAGGGCTTGGGTAAAGGCGCGTTCGAGAGAGAGCGTTCCTGCTTCCTAACTTTCCTAAGCGTGTCTTTTCGAGACGTAAAGAGGCGTTTCCCGATCAAACATCTGAGCATGATCTCGATACTACCCATGTCAGTTCGCTTTCTTGGAAGACGGAGTTGTCTTACGTCGCTTTGTCATCCGGCTGGCTAATGCGAAGTTCGTTTGTTGCACTTCTTCGGTCATCGTCTCCCCATATAGAGCCGTAGCGCGACATCAAGCTTTGAGCTTCTTCCTTGAAGCACTCCGGATCCTCGTACGCCTTCCGTAGGTTGGGAAGGTCCTTGGGCATTGTACTGTTGATCACTGCTTTCGTGACGCCTTCATAGAGTTCTTCTGCCTTTGGATCAAGGAGACGGTGTTTACCGCCCACTCTTTCATCCGCAGCCAAACCCAGACTGCTCAGGTAGTCTGCTACCGCCCTTTCTGACTTCATAGAGTCGGCCAGTAAGATCTCGCCCTCTTGTTTGAGCTTCACCGGGTCCGCTACAGGCTTTGCTTCTTTGCCAATAGTTAGTCAAATTCGATAGCGGAGAGGCGAAACTTACCTTATCCATGGCGTACCAGACAATGGGGGTCTTCTCTGGTTGGGTTATCTTTGTGCGAAATACAGGATTTTGGATTGTGCGGGTGAGATGTCGCCTGGACTACTAGGCGTTGTTGTGGTTACCTAGGCACTTGTGCAAAGGCCCCCAGGTTTTCTTGGCGAACTGATCACTACCCAACAACTCAGGAAAGCATTGACGTCCAAACAGCTATCGATGTCGTAGGAATATCAAGACCAAACCGCTCTACAGCGCTCTCTACCAGTGTTTGGATAACGAATATCTTCTTAGGTCTGGGACTGAACAGAGTGGGGAAGTAATGTGAGAAGACTTTAGTGGTGTCTTACAGCGGACATCCCTATTTCATAAACGATGAGACCCGAACTTTGAATATGTTTGGGAAGAAAGAGATGACATAAAGAAAGGTATGTGAGGGTTATGGAAGAGATTTGACGCAGACAACCTGGAATGCTACTCCTGTGTACGATGCACGTAACTTGATTTTGCCTAAACAAGTCTGAGTAGCCTTCAAGTCGCTAGGATCATGTTCTGTCATAATCCCCTCCGCATGTTCATGTTGTCTGTCTTTCTACAAGCGAGCGCGCTTGGGTTCATGTAAAACAAGGTCAATACAACGCCCGTAAGCCGTCGGAGAGACTTACGGAAGGTAGGATGAGGCATATCTCCACTAGGTGTGTCAAGGTACGAGTGACTTGTGTGGATGTGTGAATGAAGAAAGACTCACGACCTTACGTGCTTGCTCATCGATGTCTGACGTTCCGGAGCTAGCTGGCCACGAGGAAAACAAGTCCGCGCCTTCCCCGAGTCAGCCACAACGCACCCAATCACCACGCAGTACCTGACTACTCCGCACTCCAGGCCCTCGATTTTCCTCCACATTCCGCGTCGGCGCTGTTCCGCCCTCCCGCGTCAAGATGCCGACGCAACCCATACTAGAGCTTCCCGAGGCTGCGACGATGCTTGGGTATACAGATATCCGGGAGCCCTCCAATTCTCCCCACAGTGATTTGTTATCTACACCTCAACAGTCTGTGAGTTGAGCGTTTGAAAGTCCGGGAGTTTGTATACTTGCGCAAAGCCCAGCCCAGCATGCCGTCAATATCCCTCACACTGCGCACTGCGCGCACCTTTTCGCGAAGCACAACAAAAGTCATCCAACCTTCTCAAATCGATTCTCGGCAGCTACTGACATCGACAGACATACCTCAACCTCTCGCGCTCCTTCTCCTCGTCTCTCCGCCGTAATGAGATCAACAAAGTCTACCCGAGTGCCGCAGCGGCTATCGAAGACATGGCCTCTGACAGTACGCTGCTATGCGGAGGCTTCGGACTTTCAGGCGTCCCAGACACGCTCATCCATCAAGTAAAGAGCACACCACACATCACAGGCCTAACCGCCGTATCCAACAATGCCGGCATCGTTGGAGGAGGCCTCGGCCTACTACTCGAAAGCAAGCAAGTCAAGAAGATGATTGCCAGCTACGTCGGCGAGAACAAAGTGCTGGAGCAAATGTACCTCACCGGCGAGCTAGAGCTCGAACTCACACCTCAAGGCACCCTCGCCGAGCGATGTAGAGCAGGCGGCGCTGGCATCCCAGCCTTCTACACACCCGCCGCCTTCGGTACCGTCGTACAGACCGGCGAACTAGCCCTCAAGCACAACAGCGACGGCAGCGTAGCCCAATACTCCACACCGCGCGACGTCAAAGTCTTCGCAGGCAAGAGCTACGTAATGGAAGAAAGCATCAAAGGCGACTACGCCTTCATCAAAGCCTACAAAGCCGACCGCCTAGGCAACGTCCAATTCCGTTTCTCTGCCCAAAACTTCAACGGCGCCATGGCGCGCAACGCTACAACCACAATCGTAGAAGCCGAGCACATCGTCGAGCCCGGCGAGATCCCTCCCAACGCCGTCCACGTCCCGGGCATCTACATCGACCGCGTAATCCAGTCCACGGCGGAAAAGAAGATTGAAAAAGTAGTCAACGCAAAAGACCCCCAGGAAGCCGTCTCCGCCCTCGGCGCCGGCGACGCAGCCTCGAAACGCGAACGCATCGTGCGCCGCGCCGCGAAGGAGTTCAAAAACGGCATGTACGCCAACCTAGGGATCGGCATGCCCATGCTCGCCCCTTCCTTCGTAGACCCCTCCGTAGAAGTCCAACTTCAGTCTGAAAACGGCATCTTGGGTCTAGGACCGTACCCGCAAAAGGGCCTCGAAGACCCTGACCTCATCAACGCTGGCAAAGAAACTGTCACTCTTCTCCCCGGCGCATCGTGCTTTGGCTCTGAAGAGAGTTTCGGCATGATTCGTGCGGGCAAGATTGATCTGACTATTCTGGGTGCTATGCAAGTGAGTGCGAGGGGTGACTTGGCCAACTGGATGTTGCCCGGTAAGGTCAAGGGATTTGGCGGTGCGATGGATTTGGTCAGTAATCCGGAGAAGACGAAGGTGGTTGTTACCATGGAACATACGGATAAGAAGGGGAGGCCCAAGATTCTTAAGCAGTGCGAGTTCCCGCTTACGGGTAAGGCCTGTGTGAGCAGGATTATTACGGATTTGGTGAGTGACCCCTCTTTTCCTTTTCGGGTTATATGGATTGGAGACTAATGATTGTGTAGTGCGTGTTTGATGTCGACTTCACAGAGGGCTTGACGCTCATCGAGCTTGCGGATGGTGTTACTGTGGATGAGGTGCGGTCGAAGACTGGTGCGGATTTCAAGGAGGCGGCGGAGATCAAGCCGATGTTGTAGGAGACATGTAGTCTTCACACTCGCACAAAATACCAATGTCGCTTTTCTGCACAGATGATGCACGTCTATTCCAAAACCCCAAGCCCGCTATGAGACAAGTACGCAAACTAAGCTATTGATAATGCAAACACACCAACCACCACGTACAACTACTCTACTCCGTCCTCGTCTTCAAACTACCACTCGCCCCATCAACAGCGGGATCATAGTCGCTTCCAGCCTTTAGACTCTTACTCCTCGACGGTACCATCGTAGGATTAGCCTCCTTCAACGGATCCACCTCAGCAGCCTCAATATCACTGTCCTCACCATCAATACCCGCCTCACGCCTCCGTCTCTGGCGCTCCAACCACTCCTCATCGTCCTCATCCTCGCTATCATCCTCACCAACAACGCCATACCTGCCTTCACTACCGCTACCACTACCATGCTCAGGGTCCTTGATAAAGTTATCAATGATCCAGTACTGCAGCGCATTCATAATCAACGGGAAAATGAACATGACGAAAGTGATTTGCAGTGCGGTGTTTCCTTCTGTCCAGCGCAGTGCCCAGTCTCCTACCCATGCGATCCACGGGAGGAAAGCGAAAATGGCGAGAACGCAGAGTTTCATGCCGATGAGGCCGAGGAAGTAGATGATGGATTGCTTGAGCCACCAGGTTGCGCGGGGTGGTTGGCCGTAGTTGCCGCTGCGGATGGACTCTGGGGGGTTGGCTAGCGGTGTTTTGGCGAATGCGGCGTGGAGGACTTTGAGGAGGAGCACGAGGATTGGGATACCGATTGTGGTCTGGTATCGTTAGTTACTGATTGTAGATGTTCGTGGGAATGAACTTACGTCGATGGCCAGGTTGAGGAGGTAGAATGAGCACGGGTTCGGCTGGTCACCCTCCTCGTTGGTTCCAGCATACTTCGTTGTCGCGCTGGTTGTTGCTGCTACGTCAAATTTGCCGGAAGACAGCATGGACATCAGGACGTTTGCCAGATGCAACAGAACCGAGCCAAAGACCTGCTTGGAAACATCGAAGAACCAGATCTTTATGGGCCTTCGCGGAGACTCCCTCAGCCTCTTGATTGCAAGAGAGGATACGGCGAGTAGTCCAAGGAAACCTTGTACAATCAGTGCAAAGTTTCCAAGGAGGTTGCACTCGCCCTTGTCGCTCTCGCCATCCATCGGGTTTCCTTGTGCGGCTACAGCTTTGCTTGGCTCGGCGGCTGGTACTGCTGTCTTCTCAGGCTTGGTCTCTGCCGGAGTAGCTTCAGACGAGGGTGTAGATGTCGGCCTGGGTACGTTTTCGGGCGCGGCTTCTTCGTCGTTGGCATTGACGTTGTCATCCGTAATACCAATCGGTGTCGGTGTCGGTGTCGCAGGGGCAGCCTTCGAAGGCTCAACAGGTTTCGCAGGTTCTTTTTCCACGCCGTCGATGCCCATAAGCTCGGTCTCAAAAACTGCACGCACCATTAGCCAGACCCAAACTCTCCGCATAAAGCAAACATACCCAGCGTTGATCCCGCAGGAATCTTGTCACCCATAGCGTGGTTCCCATACGCCAGACCAGGCGGGATAACCAACTTCCTGGCCTCTCCAATACACATATCCAGCAGGCCCTGATCCCAGCCCTTGATCACTTGGCCCTTGCCAATGGTGAATGTAAACGGTGCGCCACGGTCGTAGCTCGAGTCAAACTTGCTGCCATCGCTCTGCAGCGTGCCCTTGTACATCATCGACACTTTGTCGCCTTTCTGAGTTTTGCGCGTACATTCCGCCGGTCTGGTGACTTGGACTTCGAGATCCTGCGCAAAGGCAAGCGAAGGCAACAGCGCGAGGGGGAGCGCAAGGAGGGAGGTGAGGAGCCGCATGGCAGGCGGCAGTAAAGCGACGTGATGTCGCGGTCGCGGTCGAATAAGAAAAGCGAATGCGGAATTGCGCGTGAGGTAGGAGGTAGAGAGGCAAGAAGCAGTGCGAGTTAATAAGCCACGATGAGGCTGATTACTGTACCGTACTGCCGGACTTTCGGGGCTTCTGAAACCTGCGTCGTGCGAAACGAAGCGCTTAACGCTCGCAAGTGCGGATGTTTGCCCGAAACAGATGTGCCGGCGTGTAAACGGCGAGAGAGGGGAGAGAAGGGGGTCTGACGGTCAACGCCAGATGTGGATGTGCAGGTGGTTGTGGCAGGTGTTCTCGACGTGCATGGCCACATGAGGTAACTGCGGCCAAGGGTCCTAGATTGTCCCGCCGATCCCCGAAATGCCTCCGCGGTAGTCGATTGGTTGTCTACTCCTTGGATCTCAAGCTACAAGATGCACTACAGCACGTAGTACCGAACAACTACCTTGGATCATCCGCCTCGTACAAGGAAGAACCTGAATTTGAACAGGTGCGCTGTCGTCTACATCAGGACGAGACCTGAAGTTTCCCAAATTCCAAGACGACGTAGAATTCTAGCAGGTAGGGTGTTGAACTTTTCACGTTTGTACAGTGCGCACCACTCTTTAAAACTATTTTTGTTGAAACACACGAAATAGATATTGATATGATAGTACATAGCGAATGTGGTTCAGATGCAGTCTCAAGGAAAGGGTATAGTAATCCCACGGCGCGGCAGCATTCGCACACCCGCCTTCCAAAACTTCCCAAGTCTCCTGAACGCCTGATGATGCTGACAAAAAAGTGCGATGAAATACCCAACAATACACACGCTGAAATCCAGAATGATTTGCTTGCTACACACATGTATGCTACTCAGTGTCTCGTGCAGTCTTGATTGGACTTGCTCTCGCCGGGCTCTCAGATACGGATGCCCCGCTTAGCCCGGGCGCAAGTTGGAGACTGTTGCGTACGATGCCTTGTCCTGGCCGCACGACGACGCTTCCTCTTCTGTCGCGCTCCAACGGATCCACGGTGTTGACGGGCGCATACGTCTCCTGATTCTGGAGATGTGCGTTCATCCGCGCCTCTTCTCTCATCTTCTTGATCTTCATGTAGTTGTATGCCGCGATGCTACCGATCGTGACGACAAGCCCAGTCAGGTTAATGGGCGTAAGGGGGTCCTTGAAAACAAGGTTCGCAGTCCCAATCGTGACGACCTCTTTGAAAATGCCACAAATGCTAAGGGTGACGACTGAAGTGCGCTTCAGCAGAGCGAACTCGGAGGCGGTCATAAGGAAGGCGAGGACGCCCGGGAACAAAAGAATGCCAATGCCGAGGCCGGTGCCCCTGGCTTCGAAAAGTTGTGAAAGACCCTCCATGAGCGCGGGGAAGCCTTCCACGGGTATCGCGAGAATGAGTATGCTGATGAACATGACGGGTGCGAGGAAAAAGATGGAGGAAAATGGGTTCGCTGTCGCGGGGTTGCGGAGGAGCAGGATCTGGGTCAGCGACCAGCGGAAGCCAGACGAGCAGGCCGAGACCATGACGAGGATGAAGCCGAGGGTGTGGAAGGCAGCCTCGCCGGCTACCATCATGACGACACCGCAGGTCATGATGAGAATGATGAAAACGAGTCGCCAGGAGGGCTGTTCGAGGCGGAAGAGGAAGGCGAAGATGAGGACGAAGCCGAGTGCAGATGACTTGCACATAGCTGTTGCCGTTAGTTATAATCGCAGAAAGGAGATGTCATCCCTTACTGAAAAATGTCAACGAGATGAACTTCAAGCTCGTGTTGCCCAGGCCAATGTCCATGCCAGTGGCTGCACCACACGGCCCGAGTCTGCTGAAGTAGAACCACTTGGTCATGAGCGGCTTCTTGGGATCGACCGGCTCTACGCGCGAGCCGGCAGCGTGCGGGTTAAGGGAATCGTGTCGCGGTCGGAGGGAGGGTATTAGGAATAGGACGAGCGAGGCGAGCGTAAACTGGACTATCATATGCAGACATGTCGTGAATAGCGGAAAGGGAAAGATGTTCTTGGCCTCGCCGTCGCCCTTGGCTTCCTTGAACATCCACTTGTTGTAGACGGATATCGATATCGAGAAGAGGTACCTGGGTCTGTCAGCGCGTGTCAACCGTACTCCTATTGACGTCCTACCATAGACATATCAGAACGCCATTGACTAGCATCGATTTGAGCAAGTTCTGGTCGGCGAGCTTCTTCTCCTCCTTGGTATATGTATCATCCGGCACGATGCGCTGGTCGAGCATCGTGTTCCGCCTCTTTCTTCTCCGGCGTCTCCGCCTGTCGCGCTTGGTGAGGCCCGTCTCCTCGTCGTCTTCAAGCCCGTCGGCGCTCATGTCGTCGTCGTCGGCGCTGTCACTGGACTCTGAGTCGGAGCGGTCTGCACCCGAGGAGGACTCCTCTCCTTCTTCGGCAATGTGGTCGGAACGGCGGCGTCGGTGTTTCTTCAGGTCTGTCTTGGTGGGCAGGGTGGCGCCGGCGAGCGAGGAGGAACGTCTGCGAGCGGCCGTGTGCTCATCCGTCATGGTAGGGGTGGGCGGGTGGATGAGTTTCGCAATGTTGGTGCGGTGCGAGACTCTGTGGCCGTCATCCGAAGCCAGGTCGGAGAGGGAGCTGGCGGAGGGCAGGGACGGCAGTGTTCTCAGAGGAAATTCATTCCCCGGACTAAGCAGCGGGCCTTGTTGTGTAGCGGTGTCCTGCAACTGCAGCCAGCGAGTTATCCGGGCCCCCTCTGAAGTCATGCTGCTCGACGGCGTGCACCTGATTCGCTTTAGCCTGGTCGCCAAGCCGAGAAGGAGGAAGACCCGCCAGCTGGCCCGGTTTCCTAGCAGTGCTAGCGACGGGCTAGCATCAGGGGCTGAGCGGGAAGATGCGTCAAGGGATGCTTCAACGCGACAGAAGGATGCAGGTACAAGCAGACAGACGCGACAATATCACGCCCGCTGCCGCAGCGCGCGACGTTTTGATTGTTACGGCCTGCACTCTGTGACACCGGCTTGGCCGGCTCTTCAGACGGCGCACCAGGCAGCGGCCAATCACCACCACGTGTCATAATTAGTTGTTAAGCGGGGAAGCTCGCCGCGGGAGATCCACCAGGTGATGAAGATGGAGTCTAGACGCCTGCCAGCCGAGATGCCGACTACTGCACGCGACCACTTGGTATGCATCACTCTCTATGTCATGGAAAATGCACATGTTGGACTGTCCAACACCCACAATCTGCAATCCCTTTGTTGACTATTTTTGGTCCAAGAGTGCCTACATGCTTTTAGAAAAGCATGATGCTCACGACCCGACTTCCGAACCCAATGCACTGCGGGCCCTGCATCTGCAGCCCACCCTGCATGCCAACCTTCCATCGATGAAAAGTGCGCCGATCACTGCGCCGACCACGGAAAACTCCAAGGATATCCAACCTCGAACGCCATCAGATGCGAGTCTAAACTGAGAAAACGTGTGACTATGTCGGTGTCGGCGGCATTACGGGTGCTGAGGGCAGCTGTTCGATCTGCCGGATCAAGAAGCTCTTCTCGTCGATGAACTGCTCGTCCTCTGTCCGATCGTCCAGGAACGACGGCAGGAAGCGCAGTAGCTTCTCGCGATTGCTGATCAGGATCCGTTGCACCGCGACTGATTTATTCGGGTTGGCAACAAACACCTGCGTCTGTTAACATGCGCACATCCTCTGACACTTATCATGACTAACCTTGAAGACGTGGAAGCCCTCGTAGTTGATCATCTTCCTGTCGTCCCGCAACAACTTCATGATGATCTTGAGATGCTCCCCCGAATCCACATATTGCGTCATAACGTTGTAGTTCGCCCGGTCGAGGAGAATCTCGCCCAGAAGCTTGATCGACTGGCGCTTCGTCACGTAGCTCTCCGACTGGACCAACATCGAGTTGTATTTCGAGAAGAAGGCGTCGAAGTTCGTTTGTAGGAACGTAGCCACCAACGGCTTGTGCTTTGTCAGGATTTCCTATCGCATGTTAGCCGTGAAATGCCATGCCCAGCCAGCCAACCTACCCTAAATGTGTTGAATGCGTCTGCGCTGACTTCGAATGCGCCCTTGTCTATCCACCCAAAGAATTTCCAGAAGACACCATTGCCGGTAGCTGGTAGATCCGGGTTCACGTTGCCCAAGTCGAGCGTCTGGCCATCCTCCATTGGCTCGTCGTAGAGCAGCAGCGCAGCAATCGCATCGTATTTGAGTGCCTCGCGCAGAATGCCGCCACATGGCATGGCGCTTTCCCGCCTATCGTAGCCTCGACATAGCGCTATTATGATATCCGGTCGGTATGCGACGACGTGCTCTAGGACTTGTGGTGTGGCCTGCCCGGCGGGCTTGTAGCGGAATGCGGTCGAGAATATGACCTGGGCGTCTTTCCGCGATTCGAATGGGAGCTTGTGGATGTTGATTGCTAGCGCGTAGAGTAGGTCTTCATTCAGGATGCTCGTGAGCAGCTGGAAGACAGCCTCGGGATTTACTTCTGTGTCTTTGGCACGTCAGTATACTCTCTACTATGTCGCAAGAGACGAACGCACCGGGTGTGCCCTGAAGCCTAATCTTCATCTGCTGCAGGTCTAGTGCTAGTCCTTCCTCCAGCTATCACATGTCAGAAATGTCTCCCAAGCGCTGCACTGCAGTCGGCTGGGCGCACCTTGGGGTTGGGTTTGTCCTCCTGTCCTAGCCGCAACGTAAGCTCTTTGATGGAGCGGGTAAGCTCGAGGTTGTTCTTCTGCTTGTTTCGGAATAGGAACGCCATATTGAGGGGGCTCGGAAGTTTTGCAGGGCGGGGATCGAGGTGCGATGGCGGCGGTGCTATGAGGGGCTGCGATTTGAGGCCAGGGCCGGGAAGCTGCTATCTTGACGGCGACAACATACAGGCGACGGTAGGGGAATATGGCTTGGGCTCCGAGGGCGGTTATGGCATACAGGGGGCCAATGCGGTTGTTGTCCTGTCTCTGCTCTGCCCTGGTGATGCTGTTGCTTGTGAATGGCCCGAGGATCAACCCTGCCTGCCCGGCTAGTGCACCCTGCGCTGACTTGTACTTCCACTCGCCCACAGTTGGTTACCCATATTGGAGCTAACTTTTCAGTGGATGGCTAACAAGAATTAATTATATCACTATTTCAATTATATACGGAAAGATTTCGTCATGCTAATGACAGTATGTTCAACGCGCGCGGAATTGCCCCGCTCCTCCACATCGCGCCTTGACGCGAATATCCCAGACCAACAACCACACCCTATGCTCACGACGAAAAGTAGGCATGCTCTAGGACCTGATAAAAAATTAGCCATGTCTTCAAGTCTGGCCTCTCGTCTCACCTTGGATGCACTCATTCTCGAGCCACTCTCGTATTTGACTAGACTGCCAACAAGATCTCGTTCTTGCTCTGAAAGGCTCGGCAGCAACACCGACCAGTCCTGGGGCGGGTACTCGTAGAACTGGACCTTGCCCCAGTCGCGGAAACCCGCAGCCTCCTGCTTCAATCAGTAAGAGTTCGGGTAAGCCGAGCGCATAAACCTACCGGCCAGACCTCCAAGTTCGGAGTTCCGAGCTTCTTGAAGACGCTCTGTATCAACGCCAGATCACTTCCTAACTCTCCAGAATCGAACAGCGTCTCGTGGCTGGGGTCGAGTGCTTCTGCGACTGTGCAACCAGCAGCCCACAGATCCAAGCTGCAGCCGTACTTCTGATTCCCAAACAGCAGCTCTGGTGGTCGGTAGCAGGTAGTACCAACGTCGGTAATCTTCGCATCCGCTGCTTCTGGACCCGGTGCTTCGGGCGCCCACGCGATGCCGAAGTCGGAAAGATATGCTGGTCCGTCGAGGGATTTCAAGAGTATGTTGGAAGGCTTGATGTCGCGATGTATTATCCCCTTGCCATGGATGTCGGCTAGGGCGGTGAAGAGGTCTTTCAAGCACGACTTGATCTGGCTCTTGGACAGCTTCTTGTCCCGCAGTAGGTCGTTGAAGTCGTGGCGCACGAATGGGAAGACCAGAACGAAGTGGCTTCCATTTTCGCGGAAAGTCTCTATGAGAGGGATGACCCGCTCTGATGCCGCCATGGCCAGAATCTTCGCCTCTCGCTGTGAGTCGTGCGGTTGCTCCATTACCGATGGTGTAGTGATCTTCAGAGCCACGACATTGGTCTTGGTGGGTGACTTGGTGGGAAAGTAGCTTTCATTTCCAACTGCAGGCGCTTTGTAGATGACGGAGAAGAGACCTTCGCGATGGTACAGTGCATTCTGATACTTGCCAACAGGTTTGCCGCCGGGTGTTGGGACATAGTCTTCGTCCTAGGATACGAATGAGTTGATTTGCGGTTTTTAGTATGGTAACTACTGACCTCTGGTGTTGGAAAGTCGAGTGACGGTCTGGGCAGATTTGTTATCTTGTCATTGCACAATCTGTCGTAGTCGTCCTGCGACATGGTTAAAATGGAATCATGAAGCACCATATTGGTCTATACCAGAGAGCGGGCGTCGGCGTAGATTGTCGTCTCAGCTACAGTGGCCTTTTTGCGAGCATCGTCTGCCGATAATGAAGGGTCCGCTGCCTGGAAGGCTGATGTCCTGCAATAATGTTAGTTTTGAATTTCCATGTTCCAAGCGTGCTGATTGGGCGACATCGTCTTTTTCCATCGAAGATCGCGATCAAGCAAGTATGCCATTCACATGGTCGGGCCCTGTTCCGGACTAGAATGTACCAGGTTCCCTAGCGTGACGGTATAAACATGTTACCTGCATTTTTGTGACAGCCATCAGGCGGGCAGTGAAGCCCAAGCTCGCTCGCCAGTCCGAGGAAGCCATGTGGCGCGATTACTCAGACGCAGAAGTCGAGGTAGGAGACATGTAGCGGTGTCGCCAGGCAAGAGAAGGAGACCAGTCGCCCCGACTCAGCGTCCGCCACTGCCCAAGCCCGCGCGGTCGGTGCCCAAAGGCAGCATGGCCATGGTCACAGAGGTCAATATTATGCAATCACTCGACACGTTCTGGCGCGTCTCAGAATCTTCACCAAAGCCCCGACTGGTCAGGGGAGGCATCTCGAGGTTTAGTCGTTTCCCAGGTTACGTCAGACTCCCGGACGCAACCGCGGTGGACTAGGCCGAAAGCGACGAGCCCCAAGCCATGACAGCCAGCGCAGTTGTGACAGCTCCACGACTCCCGACCAGCCCGCCGAGCTGCCTCTCCATGTAAATAGCCCGAATCGCTTCTCTGTGGCTGTGCGCCCGTCCCCCGCATTCCTCGCCATGGAGCTCCAACGCAAAGAATACCCGGCATTGCTGGTGAGAGTGCCTCGATGATGCCTCCCAACTTCTTCGGCTCACACCATGTATAGACATCGCTGTCGCCCGCCCAGGCCGTGACGGTCCTCGACACCCGCATGAGACATGTCGGCCAGCTCAACACCCACATTGCCGACTGGCTGCAGGTGCGTCAGGCCCAGCTGCCGCGCATTGCCATCCACACGTGCTCACCAATGCGCAGGAACGCCGTCGCGTCGAAGAACAATACGTCACCGGCCTGCGCAAGCTCGCAAACAGACATCCTCCCGATGAGTCCTCGGACCTGGGGTATGCACCCGCCCCATTCGTCTCATAGCGCACTAGCTAACACGGCCAGCATCTTCGCGACGCCCTGGCAGAAGATCGTGAGCGCAACCGAATCCATCGCCGCATCGCATGCGCATCTGGCCTCCCGGATCGAGGCCGACGTCGAACGACCCCTTCGCGACTTCTCTGCCAACAACCGGGACGTGCAGGGCTTCGGCAACATCCAGGGGAACCTCTCGGCAATCGCAAAAGACATCGACACGGCGCAGAAGAAGCAAAGCAAGCTTCGTGATAAGGGATCGAAGGCCAAAGCTTCCGCCGTTGCCGACGCCGTACAGGATATCGAGAAGGCAGAGCTGCAATGGGACTCGCAGGCGCCCTACGTCTTCGAGCAGCTCCAGGCCATTGACGAGACCCGCCTGAACCACCTGCGCGATGTGCTCACACAATTCCAAACGCACGAGGTAGACCAGGTAGAGCGGAGTAGAACTACCGCCGAAGAGACTCTGAATGCCATGTTGAACATTGAAACCGCCGATGAAATACAAACGTGGGCGTTGCGAATGCGGAGCGGAGATGCACCCCAGCCTTCGCGGAAACCAAGCAACCCACCAACTCCTTCGCGCACCCTAGCACCCCCAGCTTCTGGACCAACATCCCCTACCGCAGTTGATGACAACCGCAGCCAGAAGAGTGGCTCTGTGCCGGAGAAACACAGCTCCAACCCCCTCAAGCGATTCGGCACGGTATTGGGGAGAAGGAGACAAAGTGCGCATCCGTACGGCCGAGCGCAATCACCAGAGCGACAATCTTCCTCAAACCTGGGCTCGGCATTCAGTGGATTTGGCAAGGGCAAATCGAAAAAGGGAGACAACCAGGGCCCATCGCTGCCTCCTACTGCGGAACGCCCGATATCACCTCTGCGACAATCGCAGAGACCCAGTACTTCTCAAAGATCCGATTCCCAAAGCATTACCCGCCAGGCCAGCACCGATGTTGCACCTAATGGCCCCACACCTGAGTCGACCGTGGAGACAGATGCACCAGCCGCCGTCAATGGCACCGCACCGGTTCAAGAGTCCATACCAGAACTTAAAGAGCCACTTCCGCCACCGCCAGTCACAGAGACGCAGCCAGAGCCCGAGAAAGATGCCGAGGGTTTTTCTGTGCCTCCATCGGCCCTTGATGCCATCACCGAAGCCGAGAGGGAAGCAGGGTTGTAAGAACATCACACGTACGACAATCTACCCAGCTAATCATTATCAGGGCACAAAACGACGGCAACGCACCGCCCCAGTTCAAGCTCGATATCAGAAATGCTCCGATCCAGGAAGAAGATGGAGATGCTGATGCGGCTACCGCCAACCTGGTCAACATGCTGCGCACAGTAAGTAATACCAGAGGTGTCTTCAATCCTATACTAACATCCATACAGCAAGCTGCCCAGCCAAAGCGGTCAAGCACGTTGCGTGGTCGCCGAGATGTTCGTAACACGATATTCGTACCAAACCCCGCAGCACCCGAGCTCCAAAGCATAGGCGAAGTGCCTCCGCTCCCAACGAGCGATTCTGGTCTCGCTTCTGGCCCCGGTTCAGCAACATTCCCTGCCCCTGCTATTCCTCCCCAACCCGCATCTCCAGCTTTCAAGCCTCATCGCGCATTGCTGTCAGACGACCACCCAGCATCGGATACGCAATCCATTCGATCGGGCCGATCGCTAAGCAGTTCCGCTAGCACCACGATCAGACATCCGGACCTGCATGAACCAGGGCTCAATGCGTCGCTAGTGGAGACCGTCAGCGCCTGGTTCGAGCAGGGTAACGTTACCAAGGCCATGGTAATCGGGCAGGTCGCGCTCGCGTACAACCCCGTCGATGTCTCTGCCGGTCCATTGGGCACCGAGAGCATCCGCCTGGAGAACTTCCCCGTGCTCGAGAAGGTAGCGCCCAACCCTGCCTTCATCGAGCAGTCAACAGATAGCCCAGGCAACTACACCGTTGACCTATCGAAGATTATGAAGACATCAGTCGCCTTCCATTACCAGCTTCACATCGAAGACAGCAACATAGCATCCCTCCCACCACTCATCCTGTCACCAGCCTGGAAGTCAGAACCCACACAAACCTCCGCCATCCTCAACTACTCCCTCAACCCCCGATTCGAACTCGGCGGCGCAACCAGCATCACCATCCGCAACCTCGTCCTCGTAATCCGCCTTGAACCCGGGTCCAAAGCAACATCCTGCCAATCGAAACCCACGGGTACCTTCTCGCGCGACAAAGGCCTCATCTACTGGCGCCTAGGCGACGTGACCCTCTTCAAAGACTCCGCTCCCCAAACTCTCCGCGCCCGCTTCATCACCGACGGCCAAGCTAAACCCGGTAACACAGAGGCCCGCTGGGAGATCAGCGACGAGCAGTCATTGACTCTGGGAAGTGGTCTGGGCGTCAGCATGAGTGCGCCACTGAACGCGAAGAAGGACGATGGCGAAGCGGACCCGTTTGCGGATGCAGAGGAGAATGCGCCGCCTAGTCCGGCGATTGGCTGGAAGCCTGTCGCCACTGTGAAGAAGATTACCAGCGGGACTTATCTGGGTGTGTAGATGGAGAAGGATGTTGTTTTGAATAATGGGCAGGAGGAGGAAGAGGTGGAAGTGTAGATGCACGTACGAAGATGTTAATTACCCCAATCTATTTAGACTACCTGCTATTTTCTTTGCGTATATGTGTGGGCTGGATTTAGGGAACGTGTTGTTCTTTTGTAAATAGGTTGGGTATGTGAATGCAGTCTTGATATCCCATCGGAGATATTGTGTTCGTCTTCTTTCCGTAATCCTTATCTGTTGTACGGTTCGAGCTACTTTTCATGATCGGTACTAGTTGCTTTTGTTCCGCCTTTTAAGTAATACCTGCTCTGTCGTTTATCCCGGACATGTGATAGTCTCTGTCTTTGCTTACGGGTTAAAGCAATGGTTGGAGCAATGATGGCCAGTAGTTGCGATTGATCATCCAAGGAGGTGCCTTGCAAGAAGCCGGGCTACAGAACCAACGATACCCTCATACACATTGATATCCTACCACCCGATATACCAAGCAGAATTACCCACTCTGTCACATCCATAGTGTGATCCCACCCCACCCCCCCATGTTCCTCACAACCTTCTCCCAGGCCAGGCCTCACATACGATCAATCTCCCTCAGCAACTCCCTCCTACCCGTCTGTCTCATGACCTCCAACTCCGCCGCGAGCATAAACAAAGTAGCGTTAAAGCAAAGCGCCCAGAAGATCTTGAACCCCAAATGCAACTCCCAAGTCGCCAGCGCCCCAGTCGTCTCTAAACACAAGGCAATCATGAACGCCTGACGCCTCTCAGAGCACGCACGAAAAACATGATGCGTCGAAGCAAAGGTAAACAGGTCGCGCGAAGCCGATCGAATGGGCAGCGGGACTGTGCTTTTGATATCGACAAGCGGACCGGTAACGTTGTCGTCAAAGTACACGTGCGTCCGCATGCGTGCGTAAGTGTATACAGCCAGAGTGACGAAGAGGAGGATGGTCAAGATCTCCGAGTTGTTGATGTAAGCAGTGTAGGGAGCGTCGACGTGGAAGTATCGGAACCAGATGACGTGGATTGCGTTGTCAACGAGGTGGATGTACGACAAGCGAACTGCAATGTCGCGCCATGGCCGGAAGATGAGGCTGTAGAGGAAGTAGAGCATGTCGGTTGGGTCGTCCGTCTTTTCAGAAGTGAAGGTCCATACTGGGTCGCCGCCTCGGTTGTGCACGGTACGGGTCTCTTCGCGGAAGTAATAATCGTCGTAGAAACCGAGGTAGCTCCAGCTCCAATATCTGCTTTCGACTAGAAGCCATAGCCAGAAGATCTTGCCGACGGAGTTGGAATTCCAGACCAAGCTTGACCAGCTGGGTTGAGTTGTCCAGCCTGAGAAGATAGACAGGACCCGGATGACGGTGGTGATGAGGAAGTGGAGCCAGAATGTGCCTTGCAGCAGACGTTGGAGTCTGTTACGGTAGGCGATGAGACTGTATAGGAGCGTGGCGCCGACAAAGATGTAGAACGCTGGCCAGCCGCGATGCGTAGGTGTTTCGAAGACGTGTCGGTTGAACGGGCACTCAGGATACGATGTTCGCATCTCGCCTGGAGCATTCCAGTAGCAGACTGCATACGTGCCTGGGTAATTGTTCCTGAGAGCTATTGCAGTGTACACCAACAGTCCGGGTGGTGCGCAAAGGAGCAGTGCGATGTGCCAGTTTGGCGCGTTGCTCAAGTCCCGCCGAACGAACTCGCACCAGGAGATGAAATCATCCCACAAGCTTGTCATAGCTGCGACCGAGGCAAGAATTCGGCGTGTGAATATGATGTTGAGGTACAAGCCGCATGCTTGTTATATGGACGCAAGGAGGGCTGGTCGGTGGATGTGTACCGAGTTGGTTGTACCATGGTTGAATGAACCGGTGCCGATATGATGAGGAATTGTTCTGTAGTTTGAACGAGCTGTGCATCATGTTAGAAATTGAGCTGATGTTAGAGGTTGTGAAGGCTTACAAATAGGCGGTTCTTCTTGGTGAGAAGCCTCGACGGCAAGACGAGAAGCGTCGTAACGTGGAACGTTTTTGGAGTTTCGGTTTTTTTTTGGGTTTTAAATTTTTTTTGTATTTTTTCTCTTGGGGTGGCGTGCTCTGCTGCGGCAACTGGTGAAGGGGCGAGGAGAGGTCGGAATCGTAAGGGCACGACCGGCGTATCATAACGTATCATAACGGCAACGCGGTCGATCATATGGCATCCTTAGACCTCTCCCCGAGGTTCGTTCGTGTGGCCTCTCCCCACTGACTCCACCGTTCGTGACGCCCCGTAATGCTGGGCCACCTTCGCAAAGAGGCGGAAGGCCAGAACGCGGCCGATTAGGCCCAGCAGGGCGCCGAGGCTTCTGTCAGCAGGTATGAGGTCCCGCCACGAGTCCACTTGGAAGATCGCTTCCACCAGCGCATACACACAGCAGAGCCCCTGAATGAGAAAGGCAATTAGCAAACCATCTTCAAAGCTTGGGTGAAAGGAAGATAGAGGAAAACTAACACTTTCAATGAGCCACACCCAAGGCTGGTCATCGAAAAAATACTAGTTAATAAATGACCGGAAGCGATAGTAGTACATATTAGCGATGATGATACTGCAGAATTAAAGACGAAGCCACCCAGCCATCATATACCCCTCCGATTGTTTACCGCTAGTAGGCGCGCTAGTGTCCAGCTCCTCCCTTCTCTCAGCAGCGGAAAGATGTACCCTTCACATCACTTTCATTTTACACAGGAAATCCCAAGACACCTTAAAGACAGACACGCTCCACTAACTAGTTTATCGCTGAAAGAAAGTAAACCAATGTAGCCTCCACGATGGATGCTGATTTCGCTTGTGGATGTATCAAACGCGTGCATATCTTCCACCGAGGCACCTACCTCAATGTCTAATACTGACGTATGACACGCCATGAGGTAGCGTGGAGGCCTCCGCGGCACCCAATCTGGCCAATGCACCCCAGCCTACCGTTGCAACTACGATCGGTATGCCACTCAGCGAGGCAGGTGGAAGTAGGGCATGGAGCATACAATCATGATATCCAGCTCACAAAAAACTTCAAGAGGCACGTTGCTGCCTACAACTGAAGTGGAGAGAACAGAAGACACGCTCGTAATGTGATTTGAGGAAGACGGAGTACTAGGAAAACACCTACGCTCATATCTATCTCGACTTCTGCCGAATACATCACGTGTAGGTCGCATACTATGACACTTACCATACCCATGTAGGTTTCTAGTGGCTCAGTAGAAAGAACATTGCCAGTAGGCTATGTGGTAGCTCGGCTAGCATGGCATGGGCAGATGCGGACTATATGCAACATCACGATTGCGCGGCTGGAACAAGAGAGGGTGCATTAATACGTATATTCCAAACTATGGAGTTATGAGTAAACTTACATTGAGCATGAAGAGAAGACCTCCCAAATTCGCTTTTCCAAATGAGCGCCCTGAATGGTATGTGTCCGAAATGATGTCGGCCCAGGTCGCGAAAGATGCAGTGTAATCCTAGATAGTCAAGTCGCGATGAAAGACGCGCTCACTCCATGCTCTTTGCGAGCGCCCACAGACTGTCGAGCTTAGCCCGTCCGAGTGTCTCACGAGCCTCGCCAGCGGTTTCGCAGACTCTGGAACCCCACTTGCGGAAGGAGCGTTCCTTGATCTCACCCTCGAAGATGAGAATGCACTTGTTGGATGAATGGTCCTTTACGTCTCCGGTATCGGTAACTGGTCTCAGCCACTTTGGGTCCGATGCTTGCTTCTCGGCCTGGTTCTCTGTTGGTGGTCCGTTCTCATGCCACTTGATACGATGGAGCATGAGCTTCTTGTACTTGTTGATTGCATATGCGCCGCCTTCGACAACGACTAGGTTGAGATCGGGGTTGAATAGGGTGATACCGGTAAGCGCGTGTTCTTTCGCGTTGTTGTCGATCTGGAAACGATGTTTGCCGTAGGCGAGTGTGTTGATCTTGAAGACGCACATGTAGAGACCTTTCTGCGCGTCTTTCTCTTGGTTGGCTGCAAGCTTGGCCGCTCGCTCTTCCTTGGTCAATTTCCGGTCTTCGTTTGCAGTGATGTGATCGTCGTGACGCTGTTGAATCTGTCCCTCGACGAGCATCTCTACAGCAGTAGGATCTGCGATAGCTTGCTCACCCATGACACGCATCATGTTTCCGCGCTTGACCTTGGGTGGCGGAGGCGGCTCCAGACCGAGACGAATCTTAGCCTGGTGCTCCTTGAGGTCGGCCGCACGGCGCATTCTGCGTAACTTCTGTGTCTCCTTGGTGGTAAGATACATGGGCTTCACCTGGACTAGACGCTGATCCTGGGGCGCTTTCAGGAGGGGAGGATGTTGGACGTAGAGAGTGATGATGGAATCGTCGGTCTCAACCTTGACCTTGGTTGGGTCGTCCAAGCACTCGTAGGTAGGCTCGGCCAGAATACCCTCGTCCCACCATTCGATGTCCGGAGGTGCCTGAACCAGGAATCCGCGCTCGCTATTCTCGTCCAGACCAGCGCGACGTGCTTGGATGGCGAGAGTCTTCTTAATCTCTTCTAGTCGACGTTGCGCGCGCAGCTTGGAGGCCTGGTCGAGATACTTTCCATGCTCGTTGAAGGCCAGGACACGAGGGCCTCTCTTCTTGGCAAGGGCGGCAGCCTTCGGGTCAAAATATGGGTTCTCCAGCTCCTCCTCTTGTTGTTGCTTCTGCTTCGAGGCAGCGGGCTTGGCCTTGGGGTCGACTTTGGGTGTCTCTGAGCGGCGATTGCCCAGTGTTGTCGCAAAGCGAGGGCCGGTCGAGTCTGGTGTTGGCGCTTTCGGGATTCCTGAGCCGGCCTTGAGCGCTTCCATCCGTGCCTTCATGGCAGCCAGCTTGTCCTGGACTGATTCGCTAGCGCCAGCCGACGCCGGTGCAGGAGCCGCAGCGGCGGGCTGCTTCGCGAAACGGGCTGCGATCTCAGCGGCCTTTGCCTTGGCTTTCGCCCTCGCGGCTTCGATGGCATCAGAAGCCT